GCGCGTGAAGGTGGAGGATCTCTGGTCAAGAGTGTGTCGTTCTGGGCCAAGGCTGGCGAAGGAGATTCGGTCTGGTGGGGAGAGCCAAGGGCTCCTCCACCAGAAACGACAAGAGCTCCTGAAACCAAGCTTGCCTCGGCCACAGAGGGGCTCTCAGAAGTAAGGAGCAGTGATGCTCCCAGAACTTCTGTAGAACCCTGCCCACCAGGTTGAAGGGAGGGAATGCATATGCATACGTCCCTTCCTATTCCAGAGAAAGGGCGTCCACAGCCCACGCCTTACGGTCTGGGACCGGGGAGACGAAGGTTAGCAGCTGGTTGTTCAGGGAAGTGGCAAACAGGTCTATAATAGGTCTGTCCCACGCCTGACAATTCCCCTTGAAAATCAAGGGACACAGCTGCCATTCCGTCAACACCGGCTGGTGGCGCCTGGAGAGTGGCCACCAACACACTCAGCCTGCCAGAAAGATGCTTGACCGCTATGGTCAACTGCATGTCCTGGCAGAGAAGATGGATGTGGATGGAGAGGGCACACAGGACATGAGACCTGGTGGCCCCTGTCTCTCCAGATACGCGACAACTGTTGTCGGTAGCCACACTTTGGACTGCAGGATACCCCTAAAGGACTGCAGAGCCAAATGAACAGTGTCATCTCGAGTACACTGATGTGCTCCGAGAGTTATTCGCCAGACCACTCCCCCATCGAGGTAAGCTCACATTCCTGTCATGAACGCGTCCATGAACAGGATCATAGAGGGGATAGGCTTGGTCAGAGGTACCCCGTGGAAAACGTTCTCCTGAATGGTCCACCAGCAAGAGAACTCCCTGACCGACTGGGTAAGCGGGATCCAGGCCTCCTGGATGACGGAACCCAGTCAGACAGGAGGAACATCTGGAGAGGTCCGATGTGAATCCTCCCTAGGGGGACCACATATGCCAAGGAGTTGAGATACCCCAGAAAACTGAGGAACCAATGTACCTGGACAAGTGACCAAGTGATGAAAGTCAGAGCCAGAGCCCTGACCTTCTCAAACTTCTCCAGAGGTGGAAGGGCTAAGCCCCGAACCATGTCAAAATGGTTCCCCAGGAAGAAGAAGTCCTAATATGAAGGAACCTCTGACTTCTCTCTGGAAGGAATGAAGCCGACTCTGAGCAAGAGTTTCAGGACCAGACGAGTGTCCTTCACTAACGATTCCCACACCAAAAGAGGCATGAGGGAGTCGTCGAAATAGATGTGGACGTCTATTCTGCAGGAGTGAAGGAAACACCAGCAGCAACTTGGTGAACACCAAAGGAGCTGTCGTGAGCCCCAAGGGCATCTCTGCCTTGGCAGCATGGTCCCTACTTCCTCCTGGAGCACCCGTGCCCTTTCTGAATCCCCGGGAGGAGGAAAGAAACAAAAACGGCCAGGAGGTGAGGGACGAATCCTGAAGAAGGGGAATACCTAGACCCTCCCTGACCACCGACAAAAGCCCAAGCGTCCTCTGTAATATCCTGCCACTAGGAAAGGAAAGCAGAGAGACGTCCGCCCACAGGGAGTTCCGGATGGGGCAGATCGAGCCCCTGCCAGACCAGAGAATCGTCTGCCCACCCGGAGCCTGAGCCTGCAGGAGAAGGACATGAGCCCGGGAAAGGAGAACCACCGTCCACCCGGCCATACCCTTCGCCTTTCGCGGCCAAGAAGCAGAAATAGTCAGGAACCCTTCTTCTTGCCCCCAGGAGGTTTCTTACCCTTCCTACCCTTCCCCTTGTTGCCGTTGAAGTGAGGTTGGGACTTGGGCTGTGCAGAAAACTGAGCAGCCGAAGACTTCGCCTTCTTCTTAGGAGGCACTGACCCCTGCGAGGCACTGGCCTTCTCAGCCTGAAACCTCTTCACCAGAAGTGCTGAGGCGACCGAGTCCTCCTTCATATCCTTCTGAACCCAAGGAAGAGCTCCCCTGAACAGGGTAGAGCCCTAGAAGGGGGCATTCAACAAGCGGAAACGGTAGGGTTACTGGACTGGGCGGAATTTCAGAACTGAAAACTGCCTAGCCAACACGGCATTGACGAGCAGAGAACCTGCAAGGCTGCCGTGTCCTGTATGTCGGCTGTTCTGTCTCGGATAACCGACACTCAGGCAAATCGGATACCCTGTATAGACAAACTGTCAGGAAGTCTATGTATGACAGAACTTGGATGGAGAGGTGCAACATTCTCTCCATCCTGTGGTGCTCTTTGGGATCGAGCACCACCTGGTCCACTGATTTGCCGGGCCAGGCAGCCAGCTGTCTCAACTCCAGCTGTGCTGGTTGAGAGGCCAGCTGCCCATCATGTGTGGCATAGTCGGAAGCTGAAGCCTCCGACAATTCACCAACACTGAGCTGCAGACCGACAAACCCGAGAGCACGGGTAGAGAAGGAGTCCTTCTCTAAAACCGGAGCCCGGGCCGTGGCCAGAACCGAAGACATGATATTGCCTTCTGGCAGAGACCGATCTGAGCGAACGGAAGCCCGAGGAGCCACCAGGGAACCCAGAAGGATGGTGGATTCAGGCGCCGACGATGCTGAGGCGGTGGGCAAACCTCCGCCCTGAGAATCCGGGAGATGTTGGCCCGGAGGACCCGCATCCCAGAAAGCACATGCTGAGCCTCAGCTTCAGCAGTCTCAGGGCCATCTTCCCCTTGTGAACCCTCTTGGCCCAGGAGAAAGATGAATGACATCGTCTTCCTCTGCCGAGCCCGCACCCTCGATGTCCATCTCCTCCTCAATAGAGACCGAAGTCACCTTGGGAGGAACAGGGGCCGCCAGAGGAGCCATCTCCGCAGAGGGGAACTCCTCTTTATGGCATTTGGACGCAGCGCGACCAACAGCTGTAGCTGTAGGCTTGGGTCGGAGACCCGAAGCCGACCCCTGGGAACAGGAGACCGACGGGTCCGCGCTGGAGGCGGAAGTCCTTAAGGTCTGGCAAACCTTTATAGGACCGGCCAACAAGGCCCCCGAAGTAGCAGAACATTGGGGGGATTCCGCACTGCTATAACATCTCCTAGAGGAGAGACCAACCCCTATGGGTTCCACGAGTGAAGACCCATGGGGTAAAAACCCAAACCCCTGAGGGAATGGGAACGGTCCAGCGGGCCGGGAGTGACCCAGAACTGGCCAAGATGGCCTGCCTGAGTCTGGGGCTGGACATCCTGTCCAAAGGACCAGGATGAACCGCCACTCCCACCAGGTGGAAACCCAGACATGTACAGGCTAAGCCCGTAACTGCTGAGTAACTGTTGGTACCCAAAACCATCCGCAGGTTGGCCTGGGCGACCCAGGAATAAGTGCCCGCAGGCACCCCTTTCCGACGGTAACACCGCCGCCTATCGAGAGCTACCGGCCAATTCGACCCTTGACTGCGCCGAGTCAGGGTCGGGCTGCCCCCCCCCTACTCCAGGACGCACCTGGACAGGGGGAGCCACCCCCTGCTGAAGGGCGGAGCTCGGTGGAACGAGAGCACCCCCAGCAGGAAAATAGATAACAAAGAGTCATGTTCAACATATGTATGACAATGTGACATTGCAGAGTGACAACACTATGAAAGTGCCCTGGAATAGCCACATCAAGCTTTGTACAGTATTCTAGGCTGTAAAACCTTTATAAAAAAACGTACCTGCAGACAGTAGAACATTGGCAGCCACAGGATGAAACAATAAAAAATTGTAACAATGAAAACTGGTGATGCTTCAGGTCTACAACAGGCGTAGTCATATTTGTAGTCAGCCCACAATCAGGAACGGTCGTACAGAACATCACAGAGCAGTCATCACTTGCGCTGGCAATGAGGTTGTCATTATGTGGACACCAAGCAATGTCTAGCACAGCAAGCTGATGTCCAGTAACCTGCGGGGTGTAAATAAAACGGCCGTCCACACGACCAACCTGTTATCAAATTTCACATGTAAATTTACTTAATAACACATTGATTGACATGCTCTTTTATCACATAAATAAATATTATTGGTTTAAGACTATTGCCCGTTTCATAAATTTTGATTTCACACATGTGTAATATGACCAAGCAGAGAAGTGATTGACTGAAAGTTCCCATGGTCTCCATTGTGATGTCATAACTTCATACCATAACATATGCATTTTGAAATCATTAAAGAAAAAAATGACAAAATATGACTACAATCAATTTTGATTTTGCATCAGTCTAATTAAATTTTATTTACAAAAATAATTGCACAAGTATAAAGTTTTCTGTCATAAACAGAATCTTACACTCATTTCGCTTTCATAGAAGATTTTGTCATTTCCATTTAATTTATTGAAATTTGACAAACTTGTCAATTTTGTATTTTACCAAGCCTCTGAAAAATGAGAAATCATAAAAATCTCTGCATTTGGAATTTGAAATAAACTTTTCATAATACAGTTACCGTTGCTATTAAGACCACTTTTGGGACTGGACAAAAGTAGTCTTAATAGTGAGGTGGATCATATTGACTGCCAAAAACCATAATTGTTTAAAATAAAGACTGCATATATACCATTAAGTAATGTACACGTATATTTTTCAACAATAATAACTAAATTGTATATAAAAATGTTTAATTTTATCAAATGCATGTAAATTAGATAAAATTGGTGAATTGACAAAAGTATATATATGTATATATTCCTTAGTTTATATCATAATAAACATGTATATTTACTATTGTAAACATTGAATAAAAGAAAACAGAAAATAGGAATTTAACATTAATTTTTCAATTTTTTCACATAAATTTACAAACACATTAACTCAGTCAATGTATTACATGGTAAAAGACATTTGTAACAACATGAATGAAGTCACTATAAAGTCTTTCAACACTTTATTTTTCATATAAATTCACAAAAACTCCGTACAACACATTTGTCTTTTAACTTAAAAAAAGCGTATAGTGTACACTGTGGTGAAAAGCTACAGATCTGGCAGTTCCCTCTCCCATATAATCCTTTTTTAGCCATACGTCCTTTCGTTTACGTGGTGTTGTAATTGCATGTTAAAGTTCATCTAAGTTTTGTGTCAGTGAGAATATGTTGTAAAAAAGTTGGAATAGATACATGTTTGATTATTCAATCAATGACGAGAGTGTCATATCACTACAAAAACAATTAAAAACCCTCGACAACAGGTGCGCATGCATGCTATGGAATATCGGCCGAAAAGATTACAAAATTCACCTTCGGATATGCAGGGCTTTTAAAGTATTTAACAGCATACCTACAAATCTATCAATATATGATTAACAATAGTCTGATACAAAGTAAAACTTCAATATATCATTCCATTTGTTTGCACTTTGAAACCAACATAATTATGGAAAATACATTTCAATGTCTAGTTTTCCTCTCACAATATGAAACCATATTACAAGAGGCCCAATGTGCCTTCATCGTTCACTTGGTATTCATTGTGTTAATATCACAAATATATTGACATGTACACCATTGGCATTCAAAATGGTAAATGGTCACATCCGATCAATTCTAACCATTTTCCAGTACAAATGTTTCAAATATTTTATAATTGTGGCCTTCAATTTGGGTCAAGGGCATTTCCTTATGCAAACATTGTCAGTCATCATCCTAGGTAGCTATCACCTAAATGCTATTTTTCTCCACCTTTTGGTGAGTAAAAAGAAGTTGCTTCAAAATTTTAACTATTTTGACAAATGTGACCTTGAAAAACTTTGTCATTCTTCATCTTGGGAACCTATCAGTCAATACCAAGCTTCTGTGCGTTTTGGTTAGTCAGAAGAAGCAGTTTAAAAGTTGTAACAAATTTGACCCCTGCATCCTTGGATATGGGTCAAGGTCATTTCTTTTCCGAACTTTGTTGAGCTTCAGCCCAGCAACCCAGGAACTCACCAACCAATTATCATGACATTAGGTCTGCTGATTATTGATAAGTTGCAGGGCTCTCGATCTGCCAGATTTGGGGCCGAATTCCCAATGCAAAATAGTATCTTTTTTCCCAATTTAGACCCGAAGTTTTCCCATTTCTAAGGAAAACACCATTATTTTTCCCAATTCTAAGGGCCTCAGGCCCCAGTCCCAAAATGGGGTGTGAGAGCCCCGAGTTGTTTAAGTGGAAAAGTTGGCGCTGGGACTGAATTTAGCCTGCAATATACCCTATAGGACAACACATTGTTGGTAGAGATGTGTGCTACCATTAAACAGAATAATGATTTATCTTTATTTGTTAATTTTTTTACTGAATCTCCTTTATTTTTTTTTTTTGTTACAACCCTTGATGACAAATAAAACAGGAAGATATTGCTGGAATTTCAAAACAGATAAAAAGTGCCTATACACAATTAATTCTTCATGATGAAACCATTATAGAGTTGTAGGATCACACACCGTTACACGATGTGCAATGTGTGCACAAAGTAAGCACAATGTGCACTCAATGTATGCACAATTTATGCACCATAGGAAAACTGGACAAATATTTGCTATCATACAAATGTGTACATCGTGTGCGGTTTTATCATACAGCTGTAATCGTGCTTCATATAAATTTAGAATCTTTTCTATGAATAAGTGTGGGATATGGTTTATTTATTTTCAAAATATGTAAAAGTATAGCTAAGCCTTTTTTCCAATCATTTCATATTTCTAAAGGTTAGACTCATGTAGATCTATCAGATGCAAACTGGATAGACAAATACTTGAGTTGTGAACTAGGTATTGTATCATGTGTGTGTGTGTGTGTGTAGGGATGATGTGTGGATGATGTATGCATGGACGATGCATGCATGAAGTTTTTGATGCCTGGTGTATTAACACAACTGATCAAATATAACTATATATATATGTCTCTGGTTGTGATAAGCAGTTAGTCATACAATATTTTCCCATCAATTTCTAATTCGTAATTTTAGAGGGATTCTTATAGCTATTATACTTATGTACAGAGTACAGGAAGATCGCGCCAAGATGCGGGAACCACACAAAGATAATATAGAGCAGGAAGTGTCAGGCCCTTGTGACTTCCTGTTTATAGTCTAATCGCTATAGAAAGCTGTAGCTGATGTTCATTTGTACCAAACTCTTGACAGTGACCCAATGAGGAAATGTGTAAATTGATCCAGAATCTCATCCTTAATCACTCAAGACTCTTACTCCAGTACTACAATATTAGGTGAATGATACAGATCTGACAACACATTTCTCTCTCTCCAGTAGTACAAGATAACAAACTGGTGACAAGACATCACTTAAATCCCTTTCCTGCTGCAAGTTCAATCACAATCTTTAGCTTCATTTCCAATGTTGCTAATATACTTTCCTTCAGCAAATACATAATCTATGAACCAAGGGCGGACTGTCATATTATGATAATTTATTAAACATAACCTATTAACCCACTGCTGTCATTTTAAGACAATTTGTAAAACTATTTTTGAAATTTTCAATGCTTGGATTGCCATTAGGCCCAAAAGTACTGCCTTTGAGAATGGGGGCTCCAAATTCTACAGAAGAAAAACCTTGTAGTATCATGTGTACAAATATATTCACCTGAAGTATCCCATGACGTATCAGGTTATATACCATATTTTCTGGGTTATAAACCACATTGATATATAAACAGCAAAGCCAATTTTCAATAATGTTTTCGATCTGATCAAAATATCAGCTGCACCAAAATATAAGTAGTATCCTTTCTGACGATGTGGTAACCATCATGTTGACCATAGTTCATTGATATAACAGACAATGGAAGGCAATTGATCAAAATAACAATTATCGAACTAATTCGGCTTGGGAGCCTCCAAAAATTGTCTACGCAAAGATATAGATCCTGACATTACTGAACAATATTTCCATCTGTGTATGTACTGTTAAATATTAGAAAAGGCCCTTGCATGCTGACAAAATTCATATAGTACCATAATATTTCTTGTAAGTTACACAAAGCCATTCTTATCATAAACAAGCACAGCAGTCAATCTAGAATTTGACCTATAACCTGATGACCTATCAATATAAAGATGCTACAGTCTATTGTAAACTTCCACTATGACTTCCAAAGCATCCAAGGAAAATTCAGAAGATATTATTGTGATTAATATTAAAAGGTTTGATTTATTAAATCTACAGTATATAAGCCGAAAGCCTGACCGCCAAGGACAAAAATCATGGCTTAAAATCCAGAAAACATGTTATGTGTGAGAGCACATGTACATATAAATTTCTTTACATTACTCACAAATTTAACTGTTCATGGTTTCCATAAGATGAATGACATACTTAGATCTTAATATACTAAAAACTTTAGCATTTGTATCTAAAAGTTATCACTAAAAGTGTTCCCATCGCTTATCAAACTGGGTCTAATGGAGACATTACCTACAACTATTAAAGCCAGTTATTTTTAAACTCAATTCTAGATGCTTGGGAACAATTAAAACTAGAAACTGGTACTTAGCCATTAAAGGTGGTGTGAGATTTCATTAATGAGGGTAGAAGCATGCTGCTGATCCTGTAGTGTGTAAGACCTCACATTGATGCTACTTTAAGAACTTTTCAAGAGTCACTGGGATACAAGAAATCAAAGAAATATCAGTCTTAAAATGGGAAATAGACAAAATAGTCTGGTAACATAACAAACACATCAATTCAATACCAAATACTTTGGCTTCTGTGATCAAACTTAGAGACTGTCAAGCTAGGGAGACAAGTCAGTGTTTACGAAAAGGAAGATACCTGACAGATGAAGTGCATTTAACTGTGCAGGTCTATGTACCTATACATTCTCCATGGTGTTGATTTCATATAAATTTGATATAAATGTTCCACTTTCATCAATTTAGCAATAACAAACTTTCAAAGTCAAAATCAAAGATGGCCACCTGTCAGCCATTTTGTTTTCCTGATCCGTCATAAAATAAGATGGGCACAATTTGAGGACCAAAAGGACCCTATACATGAAATCTGAGAGAGATCTTTACATAAGTTTTTAAGAAATTGCGACAACAAATTTTCAAAGTCAAAATCCAAGATTACCTCCTGTCAGCCAAGGTAGACAAAACTAGGGACAAAGCAAAACCTACATACAAAATTTCAGAGAGATCCATCCAGTACTTCTCAAGAAATAGTGATAACAAAAAATTGTTCAAGACGGACAGGCCAAGGAAATTTTCCATGGAGATATGGCATTATGTCTCTGTATCTGATTTCATCACAACTGAAACCAGGCCTCAAATTTAATATTTTTGTTACTTGCTAAAAACAGCAAGTGCCATAAATTTTTACTTGCTAAAATGACTTTTTACTTGCTATTACAGTAAATCTTCAAATAATGTTTTATTTTTAGCATTTGGGCTGTACCGGTGATGTATCATTCTTGATTTTTTTTGTCTGTAAACACTTCATCAGCAAACTACTATTTTTTTCTTTTGAAAAAACATGAAATTTTTTAAGTATATGAATTTTCTACCATGGTTAACAACACCAATCTAAATCAGACACAAGCTTGTAATATTATTCTGGGTCATCCAGGTTTCAAACGTTTACATGCATGTACAAGGGTTGCTCCGAATGGTGTGTGTGACTTTCATTTTCAGCTTTGGCATGTTACGATTTTACGATTAACACAGGCTTCAGTTGAGGTAAATTATAAACAACAAATGCATTTTTTCCACGAACTGCACGTCTTCATTTACATGTTATGTAATTATTACAGTATGCATCTGATGAATCCACTCGCTTAAAAAAGCAAGTGAATATTTTTCTTGCTTGCAATTCTTGGATTTCCACTAAAAAATAACGAGTAAAACGTATTAAATTTGAGTTACATACCCTTATGTAGACCTGTGTTATGTTAAAACCATTTGTAATACTTTACTAGATTTTTACCAGTAAAATATTTTGTTTTAGTCAGTTAGTTATAAAGCTTCAGTAAAGGGCCACTTTGTCAGGATTTGGTGACACCTGTACTGGATCATTGATGATTATCTTTGGTTTAAGCTACAGGTTTTGTTTACAACATTATAAGTAGAAACAAATTCAATGACAATAATACAGTGCTCACTTGATCACTTAAGTTCATTAAATAAGTTGGTACAAATAATTCAGTTTGAATGTATTGTTTTTAATAACAATCACTATCTTGGGAAACACTGTAATCAATTATACATGCTTGAATATGTACTTGAAATGTTTATATGGTAAATCTCATTATCTAGTGAAGTGCTCGATGCTGAATTGTTTCTGAGAATAAGACAAGACTTTAAAATTTACAGCCAATGTAAATATCCTGTTATCTGGTTCTGATGCCCTGTTATAAATAACTTTAATCCTGATTTCCTTTGCTGTTTGAGTATCTGTATACAACGACAGCAGTCTTACAGCCATGAAGAAGAAACATACTTGGGTGTCTATAAATGAAATTAAATCATCAAATTATTTGATTATTTATTTGGGATAAAGAGACAGTGGAGGAACAATGGTGTGTCATTTCTGGGGATAATGAAACAATGGTCAGGTTTTCTCCCAAGGATCAGGGTCAGGTAAGTACTTCGGGATATTCTACAGCTCCCGTAAGCATACATTTTTGTATACTGTTTGTGTCCGGGCTAGAGGACTATTCATAGTATTAGTAATGTCAAGTGCATATAAATTGCATAGGCCCCATGATGGGGTGGAGTATTTACTGATGATAGCGCTCGCATCCTGGTATACACTGCATCTCTTGCAGGTCATATGCACCTCAAAAAACAAGAGGTCATTTTATAAGGTAAGAACTGAAACATGGTTGGCAAATTAAGTTTTGGCTAATTACATAACTGTACATAGTAAGGACAAGGCTCTCAAAGGTCACGTGATGAACTTTTCCATCCCCGATTAAAACAGTGATCAGTAGTAGACACAACAGCAAGTGTTGACAGGTCTTAATTGAAGCTGATAATCTTTATCAATTTTTCTCAGAGAGTGTCACAATTTTGTAAGGAGTCTAATTGTCAGTATTACAATGCTTGCTGGAAATCAAATGCATGGGAAAAGATAACAAAATCTAACCATTTATTCTGTTTAAGGTTATGATAATAATATCCAGGGTTTTCCATAATTTTGTTAGTAGTAGGCTGTGTAGTGAAAGTAGGAGGCTGGCCTGCCGTGTACGTGTAGTCGTGTACGGAACATTATTACGGAACTGGATTGGTGTAGGCGGCCAAATGATCAAAGTAGCCGGTCAAATTGGCCGGCGACCGGCTCTTATGGAAAACCAAGAATATCTAAAACTATCCTCCTCCTCTACCCTGGCAGGTATGAAAGAAAGAATTCCTAGTTTTTGTAAGAAAGTAGCCTTATTTTGTTCTCAACAGTAGGCATCCATATTGTAGAGAAAAAGATTATGGAAAACTACATTCCTGCCAAGTGTTCTATACGGAAATTGAATGCAAGTTTATAGTGCAATCAAAGCATGCTCCTTCAACTCAGTGAAAGAGACTGTAGTTAACAGTGTGTATATTAAACCCATGTCATCCTGCTCCTTTCTCAGCATTTTAACACTCCCTCTCTTTATCTCAGATTTTCTTAAATTTTAAGCAAGGACACTAAATATCAAATCCTTTGGGAACTTGATGTACTCTAAGGCAAAAGAACAGGAAAAAACACAATACTGCAGCACTGGAATTGAACCAAGGTCTCTGCATGATGACCTAATCTACTGGTCCAAAGACAAATGCTCCGTCAGCTGAATGACAATATTTAACATTGCAAGCCACATGCGCTTGCTCCTTTTCAGTAGTATAAACCTCATCTCATCATGTATATATAAACCACATTCAGACACATTTAACATCACAAAGAACTGTCCCCATTTGTTTCTTTCAAGAAGTCGTGGGACAAAGCTATTGTTATTGAGGAGAGACTATTTTATCATGTGCAGGTTCTATTATTTCAGCAATCATGCATTATTTCAATAGAGGATGACCTGAACCTGGTGGAATAAATCTGTTTGGAATAGGTGTCTTTGGACATGCCTTTTAAATAGATCTTGATGTAGAAGCTACATATATTACTGTAGCTAACATTCTTATGTTGTTTTGATGTATCTACAGACAAGTATTTGAAATACATCCGCAAATGTTTACCTTATCTTATATTATGGTACACATTATTTTATATGTGTACGATTGTTTATTGTCTCGGTATTTACCATAACGATATGTGGGAGTTTTTTGTGAGCTGTTGATTCCAAATCTGACACTAAATACGCACGTGGGCGACTGTCAATGGGAAAACGCACTACGTCATGTGTTTCGGAGGCTGACTCACCTTTGATAGGGGCAGGACGAGGAAAGTCCCACCACCAGCAGACTCCGTGATTACAGCCAAGAATTTTGGGTTGGCGGCTGCGAACGGACGGTCCCATGACTGTTTAGTAGTTTTTATACAGTCGTAGCACTGGTCGCGCTTCAGAGCCTTGCCGAAGACATGCCGGAACTTACTCTTTCTCATGAAATTCATCTGAAAGCAGATAAAGAAATCGTGTCACGTCTGGAGGAAATGACACCGGGTCGGGAGTCATTTCATCCTCCGCCTGTAAAGCAAATGCATTTCCGACCATCATAACGCATTAAAGACAAAACGTGACAAACGCTTAATACCTTTGTGGTTCTTTACATATGAATCAAACCCGCGATGAAGTGTCAAAGTTCTCAAAACGTGTGCTGTTTTCACGCCCTCTCCTGCCGCTTCCTTACTTACTCCGGAAGTGTATTACTGCGCATGCACACATCTTACAAGTCGAATTGACTCGTAAAATAACCAAAAAAGGTAAATGATTCATTGATGAAAGATCGAATTAAACTTTAATATATTGGTTTCCTAAATAAATATTATCTTAACACACACAATACTTACGTACATCTTACCAACTTGATGGGTACAAATCACACGTAGCCTAATCGATAAATAATTTACAAAAAGGGATGAAGGGAAACAACTCGTATGACAGCTGTGGGTAAATCACGAGAAAATGAAAGCGAATGACATCATTTTCTTTGTCTTAGATACTAAGATAATATTTAGAGATTAAAACCTGTAATGACAATTAATATGTGTTTGTACTACAATGCTCAGGTAACATCGCCATCCAGAAATGATGATTATTATTAATCCGAATTAAAGCTTTTCAGCCATTTCTGATTTGTCAGTTAAGCTTTTGTAGTCCCTGCTCTTTTGAATGCAGATGCACAATTTTAAAGTAGGGCTTGTGCTTACATTTTTGAAAGATAGAATAAAACTGTTTTTTTTTTTTTCATTTTCACTTCGTTTATTCTTTACTTTGTTTAAATCATCGTCGTCGTCGTCATCATCATTTTAATTGTAGCCTACATGTCACCCCATCATTATTCCATGGGTATACAATCATCATCATCATCAGTTACATGTACATATAATCATCATCATCATCATCATCATCATCATCATCATCATCATCATCATCATCGTCGTCGTCGTCGTCGTCGTCGTCGTCGTCATCTAGTTACAAGTACACACATCATCATCATCATCATCTATGATGTACGTACATTTTTCACACACACATACACACATCCTGACATATTCCACAACCCCCATTGCAATTTTGTATTTTCTTCTTTCTTTTCCTTCTAAAGGATTTTTTTTATAAATTGCAGACCAATTTGTTTACTTGTCTTCAAGTATATCCTCACATATTTTCCGACCTATAGATATAATGCAATATTTCACCATGATATTACATAAGCCCTTAGTCCCTGTAGGCGTTTTCATGAAAATGCTTAAATGTATTGATTTTTAAAGCAAACGAACAACGGCAGAGCTTCACGAGATACTTGTTTTGTTTCTTTTTTTTTTTTTTTTTGCGGCTAACTTGTTGTATATTTTCGCCCGAAGTTCACAAAATCCAACTGATCCCCGTTCCGGCAGCCTGTATTATTGAACAACTTTACCGACCGTCACAAAAACAGTGGAAAGGATACATTGCTTGAAGAAACTGGGTCAACATCCGCTCGTCCTCGAATCCGCGACCGACCCCGCTCCACAAAAACGGCCGTTGAGGATGACAACGCGCGATATCATATAGTGACGCATCAACAGAGACGAGTACATTGATTAGGCATCGTGTGTCTGGCAATTACAAGTTGAAAGCGAGGCGTCCTAACAAGGCCCTTCTTAGCGACGTCATTGTACTTGGACCGGAGTCCGAATACTCGGACCTAACGAAATGAGACAAGGTTCTGTTTTCACCCGATTGCCGCTTTGGTCTGCAACACGACAACGGAAAACACCAAGCTCGACTTCTATGGCTACAGAATGAGACTGCTTTGGAGGCGAAAGTGTATATATATATTCATTTTTTTTCTAGCAATATTTGTGGGGAAATTGGACCAGACTTCTGATGTTGTATATGACAATGTATCCGGCACAAACAAAACTTTCCTGTAGCAGAATAATGTACAGATGTAATCGCCAATTGAGAGCATATTTGATACGTTTTATGACAACGCGGTAATGGTCGTCAAAATTTGCAGAATTTTGTCCAAACATTGAACGATGACCACCGGTTTAAGAGTTTCATGCGACAACAATGCAACTTGTTCGTCAGCTGTTGACCTCGCAATGAAGTGATCAAACTCTTTATTAATGGTAACCTTACGCTTGAAATTGACCCGAACATCATTTAAAATCGAACAAAACGTCACTGAACGCAGAATTTTGTAAATTAATCATGACACCAGTTGTATCCTAATTGATCGATTCCTTTAAATTTATTCGTACATGACTGACAAGGGACCGAATAAAGAACCGTAACATACAGTGGTGCTACCTTTATTCGTTGAGTTTACTATATACAAATGTACGTTGGTAACCTTTTGATCGTTTGGAAATAGTGTGAATTTAATTGATTCCAAACATTACAGGTCTAGAAATGGACTTGAATAAATTAAATATAACATATGTGGTTTTACATTAAATCAATTGTTATTCCTGCCTTGACACGAGTGACTATTCATGTTTTATTATGCGTCAGTGTATAAGAGGAAGCAACGTTATCCCCACTGGTTGAGCAATATCTGGTGAAAATGCTAAGATCGAGTTTAGGTTCATATCGGTTGGATGTCTGCCCGGAGTGATTTGTGTTTCTCAGGAAGCTGAGACTAAGGCTCATCATCTGCACTGTCGTTCATATGTCCTTGGGATAGATAACATATGCCGGGTCTCCTGCATGATGTTCACTGAGGTAGTCATAAAAAATGTCAGACGATACAAAGAAACAGCTATCAGAAGCTTTATTGAATTGAATTGAACTTATATCAAACATTATTTATCAAATACTAAACACCAATACTGATGTTTTCGGTTTATAGCTATCACGGAGCCAAAACAAACTTGAGTTATTTTGCAGAAATTCTCTTTTATTGTATCAATAACCTTCAAGATTGACTTTCAAAAAAAGCCAAGCAACAGCTTTCCAGACGAAAGCACTCAAGCTTGATTGATCTTCAGGCAAGGAAAGCAATCCAGTGCAGGCACTTTTAAGTAAGGTTAATGAAATATTTGAATATGTCTGGATGGAAATCACGCTGCAGTAGCTTCATAGCATCGACAGCCTCGTGGCGGAGGACAAATCTCCGTCCCGTACATATCTAACTGAACAGTAAAATGAAAAATTCACAATCACAGAAACAATTTTTGAAGGGGAGGGGGGATAAACACCGGGATACATACGCATTTTAACAAGACGATTCATGGAATTACAGTTCTCCACCGACACACCGCCGCACTTAGATGAACCCATGCCCCAACTACGACTGAAGTTCAAGTAATTATTACTAGTGTAGGAGATGGAGCCTGGACGCTTTTTTTATCGTTTACGTACATTGTAGGTCAAGGATAAACTTTTTCTTTCATGTAGGTAAAGGGACAATTTTTTGTACGCGACACTCGTTTCACCAAGGCAAAGCTATGTCACAAGTATTAAGTTCTCGGCATTACTAGTGTACAAGATATGGACGGACACAATGCAAAACTGTTGTTCTCTCTGATGCCTGGTAGAGATTTAATCACGATTGTTTTCATGAAATAGCGGTTCAGTGGTTTTAGAGTTTTGGTATAACACTAAACGCCAGTATCCAAACACTCGATCGTTACTATTTAGGGAGAGAATTATCATTTGATTCCGCAAACATAGGAAACTGAAAATGTATTTCTAATGCACTCTCGTTGAATCTGACCATCACAACAATAGCCTACACGACCGTAATAGTTATTGGCATCAGATGTAGGCGTATGCTGAAAATGCTTCTCCGTGTTAAAAATACTTCTTTATGCGCTATACTGGCACGGCATAGGAGGCTGGTGATACTACCAGGTACACATATTCTGATGGTGTTGTTATCAATGTTCTAGGATAAACAAAACATATGTGACGAAGATAAAACTATATATTAAATAGCTACGTCCTTAACTTTAGAGAGGCAAACCGGAAAAGGCTTAAAATTCCAATTTTCTTTATTTATATCATAACAAAAACATTGGTTTCTTCTCAAGTCCCTGTGTAAAGCTTTCGTGTACTGCGCTGTAGATTTGACCGTGCAACTCTCTTTATTCTAAACATGGCACTGACGTCATCACAACAGCCATAAAGCTTTCATGTAAGATATGTAGGTGGAAAACAAAACAAAATGAGCAACCAATAACAATGGAACCAGCCATGCAATAGAGAGAGAGAGAGAGAGAGAGAGAGAGAGAGAGAGAGAGAGAGAGAGAGAGAGAGAGAGAGAGAGAGAGAGAGAGAGAGAGAGAGAGAGAGAGAGAGAGAGAGAGAGAGAGAGAGAGAGAGAGGAAGAGAGACAGAGAAGAGAGAGAGAGAGACAGAGACAGAGACAGAGAGGGAGAGACATAGAAGAGAGAGAGAGAGACAGAGACAGAGAAGAGAGACAGAGACGGAGACAGAGAGGAAGAGACAGAGAAGAGAGAGAGAGAGAGAGAGAGAGAGAGAGAGAGAGAGAGAATGAGGGAGACAGAGAGAGATTTGGTATGAGATGCTTTTCCATATTTTTGCGATTAGCTGGTCTCCAAGCACTCGGTCATACCTCAAACTTCATTGTCCAGACCATGGCGTTCAAAGTTGCACTGACCAATGTATGATTTACGAATCGGGTTCCTCTGACAGCCAATGTCTGGCTTGGTGTGAATACAAATATATGGGGGTGTATTCTGTTTGTATTCAGTCATCACAACGATCGTTCCAAAAAGAAGAGAGAAAAAAGAAAAGAAAAAAAAAAGAAAAGTTCTTTATCGGTGGCTGCTTTCCTAAAAATAAAAGATAAAACAAACAAAAAAAAACCTATCTTTCGACTCACTCTTTGCCCACTTCTCTTTTGAATGTTTCCAACTCCGATCCTGCAGTATGCAGTGGGTATAATCATGCACTAGTATTATCATAAGGCATTTGATGACCGGTTCTTTGCCTGTTTTACCGTGTCTAAAGACACTGACCATTATCATTTCTTTTCCTACCGTCCTTCTACTGTCACAAGGTCCTCACTTAAATTGTTAAATATTGCTAATTACATTTTTAAATCATGTTATAATGAACTGGTGGCGCTGAAGGTAAACAAGCCGTGTTGTAAGACGAATTTTATGTATCATGTAAGCAAGCACGAGGTATGTTAGGATTTCATGACGTGTGGTTGTCGAAGTGAATCTCCACTGAAAAATATTTTATCTTTATATACTCAATGGCTGCACGATGTTTTTACCCAAGAAATGAGAAACAGTTTTGAAATCTCGTCTTAGAAGTGAATATCGCGTAAAAACATTATTGATATATTTAAACTGCATGTTTATTGTGCTAAATCTTTTTCTACTAAATTCGGGAAATGTTCTCAATAAGTTTATGACACAAGCACACCATTCAAGAATCGAAATTAGAGTAGATACCAAGGTATACCTAGAAACCAAGGTTGTGTTTATAATGTAAAAGAGGAGACGTTGAAGATGGAACACACTATACATCATTATGTCCCGCTTACTCAGAAATAAGAAAAATACTTTTTACCGGCGCCCATATCCACAACTGAATTATTTGCAAATAAGAATATGAAAAAAATTACTTAATTCCTTCTTCATCGAAAGGAATGTTACTTTTTAAGTATATATTAATGATATATATAGTCTTTATTTCAAGCGGAGTTATGGTTCTTTGCGGTCATCTGATCCACCTCACTATTGAGACCACCTCACTATTAAGACCACTTTTGTCCAGTCCCCAAAGTGGTCTTAATAGCGAGGTTTCACTGTACTTTTACTGAACCTGTGTCAACAATTAAACTTATGAGTGTCTTGTTTATAATAGATGTATCGGTTTGCATCGGAATGTCTGCGATTACGTTCTCCGCCATCGTGTACACATGGACATTATGTATCTATTTATCTTGAATATCCGATATGCTATGCTGCATTTGGAAATAAACTGAATTAAGACCTTTTTTTCTGATTTACTCACTCTTTGCCCAGTTCTTTTCTGAAGTACTCCAACTTCAATCCCCTAGTGGGTATTGACCATGCATATGTATCAATACGCATTTGTTTATTGGTTCGTTGCATATTCCGAACCTGCAGCAGGTATAATCATGCACACGAATTATCATAAGGCCTGTTTTATCGTGTCTAGTGATGCCGACCATTGCCCGTTGTTTTCTTATATTCCTTCGATTGTCGCAAGGTCTTGTCTTTGTAATCTTAAGCTACTTATCTAAGGATGAGATACAAAGTTAGCTGAAGTTTGCAGTTCTGCTTTGAAACCTAATGCAGAGTCGTCCAAGAATGAGATGTAGGGATGTGATACGTAGCTTGAGTTCGCAGTTCTCCTTTATAACCAAACGCAGTGTTGAGAACACTTCCAAGCTTTCAAACGTCGATGATACCACCAGGTGACTTGGGTAAATCAAAATGCCAGGTTTGTTGCAGAAAAAGGCCATATTGGTGGGTCCTAGACATATAGTTTTCAGTACGTCTCGTTTGGTACACCTTTGAAACCTGTCTCATATCTTAGCAATGCTACACCCGTTATAGAGGATGTGTAAACGTCATTGGCATTCTAAACAAGCCCGTTGAATGAGTTCCCTTTCGATAGACTTTTCGGGTCAAACTCATCTGTCCATGTATTATTACTGTCATCTCCTCTTCTGACTGGACTGAATCGCCTCTTTAGGCATATTTCAATATTCAAACATTTACAACCACTATCCATCTCGATAATAACAGATAAAACAGATGACCTATGTCGTTTATGTCTCCTACGTATTAAGAGATCATCTACCTGAAGGCTGGTGTTAAGGATGTAGTAGATATTTATTGAAATAGTGTTAACCTGAAAATAATACAAGAGATCCCAGAGAGTTCTTGGTGCCCACCATTGTTTGATCTTTATATGCTCTTTGAAAGCTGGCTGTTTCTCTTCTTTTCTAATCTCTTTTCTGGTTTTGCTCTTTAATGATAAGATAAAATTTTGTTTCTTCTGATCAGTCACAAAATCAAATGAGCACAAGGAGAGACCAAAGGGAACATCTGCATGAAATTTGAGCGATATCCATTCAGTACTTCTTAAGAAATAGCAATAACAATCTTTACCAGGCAAAATCCAAGATGGCTTCCTGTCGGTCATTTTATTTTTTGGTCAGTCCCAAACTCACACAGGCACAACTAGGGACCTAAAGGAACCTATACATGAAATTTGAGAGAGATCTATAGAGTAGTTCTCAAGAAAAAGTGTTAACAAACTTTCATAGTCAAAATACAAGATGGCCACCTATTGGCCATTTTGTTATATGATCAGACCCAAAATCAAACTGACACAACTAGGAACCAAGGGGAGACTACATATGAAATTTAAGAAAGATCCATCAAGTAATTCTCAAGAAACAGCAATAACAATAGCTGAAAGTTAAAATACAAGATGGCTGCCTGTCAGCCATTTTGTATTTTTAATGAAACCCAAAATCTAATGGGCACAGCAAGGGACCAAGGGGAACCTACACTTGAAATTTAAGAAAGTTCTATCCAGTACTTTTCAAGAAAGAGCGATAACAAACTTTCAAAGTCAAAATCCAAGGTGGCCGCTTTTTGGCCATTTTGTTTTTCTGATCAGTCCCAAAATAACATGGGCACAAGTAGATACCATGGAGAACCTACATACGAAATTTGAGGGAGATCCATCTCTTGCTTTTCAAGAAATAGCGATTACAATCTTCATTGAAAAAATCCAAGATGGCTGCCTGACGGCCATTTTGTTTTTTTGACCAGTCCGAAAATCACAGCTAGGGACCAAGGAGAACCTACATGTGCACTTTGAGAAAGATCCATCAAGTACAGATGGATGACGGATGACAGATGCAGGGCGATTTGAATAGCCCACCATCAAGTGATGATGGGCTAAAACTGCACAATGATGAAAGCTTTGTTTGTTGAAATCTGATGTTTTATTTCTTTAAACATCACTAATATCACAGACATATTATCTCTGTACATGTTAGTATAAATAACAAAGCTATTTTAACATTCAAAATAGCACATTTTGTATCAAATTAAAAACACATGTCATTTTCCAAATTTTAAGGACATTTGTTTGGTTAGATGTAGGCAGTTATTGACAGCTATATGATTAACCAGACATAAAAGCTGTATTAATACATCAGTTGAAGATAAATAAAGGGGCAGTTATTAATGAACTTTTGCCTCTTGAATAAGCCTGAATATTATTTTTGAAAATTGCATTTCTTTTTTCATAATGTAGGCTAGGCGAGCATTTTCTTTTGAAAATCAGATCTTTCATTAATCATGAGTTGTTAAATGTAATGGTACGTGTGAAATGAAAAATGTGATTTCAATAAGGATGAATATCTGTGTTCTAAATATTACTGACTATACTTTTTCTCAAAAAAAAATGTAAAATGCATATTTGTTTCATAACCATACTTTCAATGGAGTCCTTCATATGTGAATCATTGTCTTGAATAACAGCCATACAAATTACTACTTTACAAATAACAATATAACAGGCTGCAAATATGTAAGTTTTAAAAAAAGTACGAATACATTAATATATTGTTTAATTCCTTCAATTCCAAATAAAATCCAATAAAAATTGTATCAAAAAATTTAGGAATGACAACCTTGTTTCTGTAAATTAACTTATCATACCCCATACTTACGCTTTTTAGGTAAGGGTGGGCTTATAAAGTCTACAAGGCTGTGATGACTTACAAGGGATATCATAAAACCATGTACATATCTAGTTCAGGTTCACACCAATGCTTCATATCTAGTTCAGGTTCACACCAAAGCTTCACCTGACATGATATCGGTGGTCATCCATGACCACTTTTAAAATTAAATCTTTTGTATAGATATCGCATGAACCATAGCGCAGATTTAATTCATATTGGTATATACCTGATTAGAGTTTGGCAGTCAAGGTCAAAAATCATCCTTGATCATTTCTCAAATAAAAAACCTTGGGTACAAGATATCTCGTGAACTCCTTGACTGTTTTACTTCATATTCACACTACAGCACCACACTACGGAGTTCTATACTGGATTAAATTGTGGCAGCCATAGGTCAAGGGTAGAATCAAATGTCACTACAGACAACTTTTTGAAAAACATGTAAAAAGCTTTTGTGCAAAGTATCACATAAACGCATTGTTAAATCATCCCCTTAATAGATTTCAACTAGAGGAAAAAGCTGAGGGGTTGGTTTGTCAGCTGAAAGGCCCAAAAGGCCATAATAGTGGACATTAAAACTGTTTAATAATTAAATAACAAGGGTTGATCATACATACATGTATATCTTTGTGAGCCCTGCTCATTTTGCATGCACTCAAATGCAATATAATTACTGTTGTTGTTTTTGAAAGTAACTTCATCAGCTTTGAAGCCCAAATGCTAGCAAACTAACAAGAATTACTTAATTGTGCTGTCTGTTGAACAGCAGCAAGTGATAGGAATATCAATGTCAATCCATTAGTGCTTTCAGAACTGTTATTATAGAGTTTATTATTGTTAAAGTCTGTAGGGATTTCCAAGAGAAACATTTGTACCAAAGGTCTCATCCATTACCACGAGATCTGACCTTTCAAAGTCTGTATGCATTCAATTGTTTCTAAGACAGCAAACTATTCAGCTTTCCACTTGAATTAAACATCTGTCCATCGCTGTGAGGCCTGACTTTTCAAAATCATTGTTAGATGACTGTGCACTATTCCCCTATTCTGCACTCAGTGTGGAGTAAACATTTAGTCCTTCGTGATCTGGCCTGATTTATCCAAATCATTGTTTCATGTCTGTATGCCACACCAATATTCTGCATTCTACTTGGAGTAAACTGATTTATCCAAATCATTGTTTCATGTCTGTATGCCACACCAATATTCTGCATTCTACTTGGAGTATTCTACTTGGAGTAAACATATAGTCCACCGCTATGAGGCCGGACTTATCCAAATCATTGTTTCATGTCTGTATGCCACACCAATATTCTGCATTCTACTTGGAGTAAACATCTAGTCCATCACTATGAGGCCGGACTTATCCAAATCATTGTTTCATGTCTGTATGCCACACCAATATTCTGCATTCTACTTGTAGTAAACATCTAGTCTACCGCTATGAGGCCGGACTTATCCAAATCATTGTTTCATGTCTGTATGCCACACCAATATTCTGCATTCTACTTGGAGTAAACATATAGTCCACCGCTATGAGGCCGGACTTATCCAAATCATTGTTTCATGTCTGTATGCCACACCAATATTCTGCATTCTACTTGGAGTAAACATCTAGTCCATCACTATGAGGCCGGACTTATCCAAATCATTGTTTCATGATTGTATGCCACGCCTCTATCTTGTGTTACACATGTGATCAGTTGTGTCCTACATGATCATTCCCCTTGAATGTTTTCTGTGTCCCAAAACACGTATCCTATCACCATGATTGATGAAAATGTCCATACACCACAAATCCCTTGTTCCAAATCCTCCCCCTATTGCACATTGCCTCTGTCAGTGGTTAGTCTTTAGGATGCTCTGCTCTGTTGCTACTCCATCCTCCGGGTATTCTCTGCTCTTTTCATTGTTCATGACATAATGTGTGCCTGTAAAACTCTCAAAGTATTTTCCAACCTCAGGATGACTGACTGGTGACACTGTTTCTGGCATAGTGAGATTTTCTGAAAGACAACATGAATACCAAAGTTAGGACAATTGTCTTGATATGTGAACGATGCCAAATAAATTCAAACTCTAGCCAACCTAATTCCATCTCTTTATATAATTTTTTAATTCCTTCCATTGAACAAGATTAATCAATGTCTCTCCAAGCTAGCAAGCAACACAACAAATAACAAAGTTCCTGGTCGGCCTTCAATGTTAGTTATTAATACTGAATAAATGACAAGGACTTTGATCATGTGACTTTAAAAAGTGTCAACTTCAGTAATTTGACAAATATAAAAGGATTTTAAGATATACAAGCCAAAAGTATGACTCCAAACTGTATGTCTCTAAAGGAAAAATTGTTTGAAGGAAATTCTAACAAAGGAAAGAGAGGACCTCTTGGCTTCAGCTCACATCCATTTCCTGTCATTTTTACTAATAGATTTGTCCAAAATAGATCATAATGTATAGTTTTTCACAGAATGTTCCTCAAACAAACAGAAACGAGTCTGATACAAAGTATGAACAACTCTAACAAACACCTCAACTTTGTTTAAATATCTGATTTATAATTGATTGTCAGAGACTGGCTTATTGACCTTGGTGTAAGTGTGTGATTGACCTTAACAGAACTTGTGACTAATATTTGTTAATATCAAGTTGGCCAGTATTAAGCAATGGTCTCTACAACTCACCTTGAGCAGCATATCTACAGGAGCCATCTTCTACTAGAACATTGTAAAAGGGTTGGTGTTGTTTGTTAGGTAGGGTATGGACTCCCATCTGATGAATCCATTCTTTACTGGCTTCACACTTATAGTCCCAACCATATATAACACACATATAGTTATACCTACAAACAGAACAGATAAAATCATATCTACACCCATACAGAACTTACTAAATTATACCTACAACCATACAACATTATATAAAGTTATACTTTTAACTATACAATATACACACACACATATATATATATATATACATATATATCTGGTTTATGTTCTATGTATGTGATGTAATTTATGTAATATTTGTGTCTTGATAAAGGGGCAGGTTGCCTCGAACATTTCACAATTCACTTGTCCATACTGGGGTTATTACTTCATTGATTATATATCTATTCCAGTCATATGCATTCAACGAACATTGTTAGGATCCAGTACCAATATTGGACCATACCATCGTTATAACTTACTACAATCTATATATGCAGTTATACATTTGTGGGTTTGCAAAACGTGACACGATGTGTACGTGACATCTGCATGACATACACACGATACACTTGATACCATTGCCACTCCCAAATAATGTTTCCAGCCAAATTTGGTTCATATCTACCCAGGCATTCAGAAGGAGTAGCGTTTTGGAGCAAAATATTGTGTAAGTTTTCCTTTTGGCGCCTTGTCCCTAGGGATGGAATCAACTTTCTGAATAAAAGAAATGATTCTCCATCATCAATGATGTTTCAGATCAAATTTCATCGACATCTATTCAAGTATTAAGGAAGAGTAGCATTTTGCAGCAAAATATTTACTAACTTCCCCATTTGGGGCCTCATCCTTTAGTCCCTAGGGGTCAAATCAACTTTCAGAGTTTAAGAAATAATTACGTGCCATAACTAATGGATCAGACCAAAGCTTGTTTAAATCCATCAAAGGAGGATTAGGGTTTCAGAGCTAATTTCAGGACCTCTACCACTGAGGCCCCTTTCTTGACCCCGAGGGGTTGAATAAAAATTCGGAATTCAAATGAATACCCTCACCCAATGATGCATCAGACTAATTTTGGTTTTCAATCTATAATATTGGCAAACCATTTTTACAAAACCACACAAAATGCATGATCCTATGCAACATACACATGTGCCTAAAACCAGAAAACAAATATAGTATGGTACAACCATACAACATACAATTGTACACATGTGACTAAAACCATACAACAAATATAGTTGTCAACCACACAACATACACATGTGACTAAAACCAGAAAACAAATATAGTTGTCAACCACACAACATACACATGTGACTAAAACTAGAAAACAAATATACTAAAACCATACAACAAATATAGTTGTCAACCACACAACATACAATTGTACAAGTGACTAAAACCATACAACAAATATAGTTGTCAACCATACAACATACAATTGTACACATGTGACTAAAACCATACTACAAATATAGTTGTCAACCACACAACATACACATGTGACTAAAACCAGAAAACAAATATAGTTGTCAACCACACAACATACACATGTGACTAAAACCAGAAAACAAATATAGTTGTACAATGCCACAACATACACATGTGACTAAAACCAGAAAACAAATATAGTTGTCAACCACACAACATACACATGTGACTAAAACCAGAAAACAAATATAGTTGTCAACCACACAACATACACATGTGACTAAAACCAGAAAACAAATATAGACAACCAAACAATTGTACAATATAAAACCAGAAAACAAATATAGTTGTACAATGCCACAACATACACATGTGACTAAAACAGAAAACAAATATATCAACCACACAAATATAGTTGTAAAACAGAAAAACGCCACAACATACACATGTGACTAAAACCAGAAAACAAATATAGTTGTACAATGCCACAACATACACATGTGACTAAAACCATACAACAAATATAGTTGTACAACGCCACAACATACACATGTGACTAAAACCAGAAAACAAATATAGTTGTACAACCATACAACATACAATTGTACACATGTGACTAAAACCAGAAAACAAATATAGTTGTCAACCACACAACATACACATGTGACTAAAACCAGAAAACAAATATAGTTGTACAACGCCACAACATACACATGTGACTAAAACCAGAAAACAAATATAGTTGTACAATGCCACAACATACACATGTGACTAAAACCATACAATACACACATACATTAATACCGGTACATACATCTACCTAAAACCATAGATTTATTTAGAACCATTATAATACATCTTTGTGAATTATATTATATGGTTTTAGGCACAGGTTTCTACAAACATGCAGCACACACATTTAGTTACATTTTAAATTACATAAAAGCTAGATACATTTAAGTTGATTCATAATTTTTATACCAAAGGAAAGGAATGGAATTGCACATCAGGTACACTGTAATGTACATAGTGTTTAACTTATAACCATATACATCACATCCAAGATATTCCACTTACAACTGCACAGAAGATACATTAAGTGATATTAACAAGAGTTAAACAACCAGATATCAGAGTTATGAAGTTATACAATGATAAGAGATTGTGGTGAAATCTCTTCAGCTTTTACTAAATCCAATCAGTCTTACCTCTTATGACACATAACTAGGCCCACAGAGAACAATAGGTTTTTGTTTTTCCCATCAGATCTGATCTTTGGAATGATCTGAAAGAATAAAGTATCCCTCAATATTGTGTCCCAAGATGTATACTAGGAATAAATACACCATATGTATATATAAATGTATTGGCAAAATCTCCAACAATCATCACTCTTGATCTTTGTCTCCAATGTTGAAAAAAATCCTGCACATGAAATCATAATATATATGTGCCACTTGTACATTGTATACATTTTAAAAGTAACAAAGTTTTCTCAATGTAATTATAGCCATATAACTGCAAATAACCTTTTGGCAATTCCCATGAAACCCTGAGAGATTTATCTGTGTGGCTCAATTATCTTGATTTACCATGCCAATAACAAGGGCACTTAAAGATGCTGTGTTTGATGTATTGAAATAAAGGCATAAAGAAAGTCAGGAAAATCAGAATATAACTTAAGGAAGAGTAAAAACAAGAGGCCCAAGGTCCTTAAAGGTCATCTGAGTATAAAGGCCTATACATGAAAGAGGTCAAACAGGCCTAAAATAAATTGCTCAACTATATACAGCTTACATAGATGACATTGGTTGGTTCATAAAGACATTTTCTGCAGACTTGAAAACATATTCTTTATACATGCACTACACAAATGCCACTACTCCAGAAATTTCTTCGTGAGAAAAAGCATGCTTCAGGCCCAATATGGCCTTTTGGTTATTGAGAAGAAGTTGCTCATGCATTTCAACATATTTGACCCCTTTGACCTTGAAAGTGGGTCAAGGTAATTCATATTCACAAACTTGGTAGCACTTCATTCCAGTACGCTACAGTCCCCAATATTCGCTGCCTGGGCCTTTTGGTTACGGAGAAGAATTGTTTAAACATATTAAAATATATATTTATGGTTGTAATGCATGATATAAATGATAAAATTTCTTTTGCACTGATCATGGATCAGAATGCATTTCAAAGGAGGAAATGTGGGCCAATACAATGTATTTAGGTTTGTACTGTAACCTATGACCATGGACTGATGGTCATTCATTTGACCATACTTGGTAACCCTATATTTCAGCATGCTACAGAGTCAATATCAAGTCACTGGACCTCTTGGTTATTGAGAAAACGTCGTTTGAAGACTTTAGCATACTTGATCCCTGTGACCTTGAAAGATGGTCAAAGTCATTCACTAAAACAGAACAACAGAAAACATACTTGGTAGCCCTTCATCTCAGTATGCTACTGGCACAATACCATGACTCTGGGCCTTTAGGTTATTTAGAAGAAGTCAAAAATGTAAATTGTTTAGGACACATGACATACAACAGAAGACACCGGCGGACAACAGGTGATTGCAGTAGGTCACATGATACTTCGTCTCAGATGACATAAAAATTGAAGCATGCAAACCTCTCAGACACTTGTCTTGTACAGCTTGAATTCAGATAACCACTGCTTTGTTTGAGAACTTTCCTTACCAGAGGTAGAAAATTATCCACATCCCATAGTTATCATGTATCATGAGTAGACAAGTAAGTTGCTTTGTGAAATGAGAACTAAAAATGAAATAAGTGTTCCAGCAATGTTCCCGTTCAAGTACTGGTCAGGTCAGTATACTTCAGTGACACAGTCAATATATGATGGAGAATAACAGTGAAAACTTCTAAGGTTTCATTAAAAGGTGGATGTAAATTTCACTACCTAAAATAATATCATGTTTTCTGGAAGAGTAAATGTCTTTCGCTTCATCGGTGAAAACCGCCATGTAAATCTTGAGCAATCCAAGTACATAAATTCACATTCTCAATTGAAAACAAAATATCCAACAATAGAACCAACAGACAAACTAACAAGATTCAAACATGTCCAGCTTCATGTCACACAAAGAAATACAAAAATGTAGAATATTTCTGAATGATATCACAATAGCTACCATAAAATTTCCCGATAATTTTCATCAACCAGCATCTTTCGAAACCCTGTGTTACGATGTTGTCTGTCAGTTGACGACCTCGTGCACAAAAATCATAATGGGGCAGGACAGTGAATATCAAATCAGCTGCGACATGTTAACAACATTGTTTGAGGATTGTTGCTATCTAGAAATGGTAAATTCACAGTAGGGAAACTGAAATGATGACAATTTGTGGAAAGCTGTCTATACTGGTATTGTAGGAAATATTGAGATAAATGGCAGATGTAGAAGAGTCTGTTGTGTTTAAAATAGAAATCCGCTTATATCAACCAATAAAGTTCATCTGATACTAACCAAAACATGGAATGGCTGACAAGAGTTTTGTGACATTTGATATGGCAGAGCCAGTTGGCAAATGAAAAATACCAGTGAATATATGAATTTCAGACAAGAACTGAGGAAATATATGTGAACTGAAAAAGGGTAAAACAGTCAAACTAAACAATTATCTAAATGCATGACCTCAATATTCAATAAGAGCTGTTCTACTAGAATAAGAAATATGTCAGCTAACAAGGAAATTTACAGGCATCAAAATCTTATATACACTCACAATAAACATGTATGGCAGATGAAAAATTCCACGTAGTGATAATGATGAATGTTGACAAGGGTGCTAAACTTTTAATGGTTTTTCACATGACGCAATACAGTATTTAAAAGACTGATAGAATTAATATGATGGTTTGTTGAAACAAACAGTGATCATGAAATGGATCTAAATAGATTGAATACTCAGTTTAGCTATGTTTCACCTAAAACATCTAACCACAACATTGTCTGGAGTGTATGAATGTACCTCTTTGTTTTTCTTCTCTTTGTATGCTTTTCCCTGCTCCTCTACTTTGATACTTAGATAATTCACTAGTTGGGCATTTGATGCGTCTAGTTCCACTATCTTCTCAAGCATCTGCGACGTCTGGTCAAAGATTACAAAATGTGTCATTTTAAATACAACATCATAAAGTGATTAAACTTTGAACGTTTAAGTATAATGTGAATCTAATTTCTTGACTGGAAAATGAATTCAATTCTGTTAAAAGGCAAACGAGAAAAACTTCCATTTGGAGAAATTACTGGGTTCCTGGAGGATACCTAATTGTATGCAGAGCAGTTTTTAAAAAATAAATAGAAAAGGAAAACAGGCATCTACTGCAGCCAGGTTTACGAACAATTACTCTCATCAAGCTGAAGACAGCGATGATATATTAATGTACATTTCCATAGGGAGATAACATTGAAGAACCTCACCCGAGAAAGGTCGATACCTAAGTGAAGGTTGACGCGGACACTCAACAGTAGTGTATCTATATCACTGGGTGATAAGATGATGGCAAGATCTAAGGCATTTCTGAGACAAAGGAGACTATCCAAGACATTGCTTTGCTGGCGACCAATATTTATCAGGTTACGACACATTCTTCTGTACACCTGAAACACAGGGATCAATATATAAATGTTACAACACTTCTATATTGTCTATCTACATTTGTATGTAAAGATGTCTATTTTTGGAACCTTTACTTAACTTTACCTTATCTGTGACCAGATATTTACATTTTACATGAATTCTATTGTGGAGAAGTAATTGAAATAAATCTTTAAATTTAAGTCACTCCTTTTGGAGAAGTGGGTAATAAATACAACTTAGTCCATATATGGAAATTATTTTTTTAAAATCTACCAGATGGTCTACCAAATTTATGTCAATTCTGCTACACTTTAATCCTTTGTTGACATTCTGTATTGGGTAAAATGTGAATGGAGACAAGCAGGCCCAATTAATCACATATCAATGAACTGATACATAATAAACATAGGGCAATTTCCTTTCTAATTTGACCATCATCTTGTAAATCAATAATAAATCTATTATAAAAATTGAAAATGGGTCTGATACAAGTAACTTGTATACCTGATACTTAATACTGCTTGTTTTCCATGAACCTGTACTCAATATTTATCTACCTAACAGAAAATTTTTTGAGAAATTCTCACCTCTATAGGGTCTATCCTAGAAAAAACCTCATAAGAAAGGAACCTATTTCCCGGAAATCCAAAGGCACTAGGTAGCTCTTCCGTAGTACAGAATTTACCTTGATTGAAGGCATCAATATAAGTGAACTGTTGATTAGGTGTTGCCCTGAAAAAGACATATTCTTACATTCTCCTCCAAGTTAGATTTCAAACTAACAAGTTAAAATCCACAACCTAAACATATGAAACTTTCACAAGCAAGAGTTAAATGATTCAAATGAAATAATGAGCAGTTTCTACTCACTAACATACATTATTATTTTTCATTTTTCATATTTCTTAATATTTTTCATCCAAACTGTACAACTTTAAGAGGCAGCACAGGCTGAATTCTGTTGGCATTACTTAGGGATAGGGTTAATGTAACAGACATCTTCACTACACATATGACTACATATCACCTTAGTACAGTTTATCGGTTTTCCAGACATTATTTCTACATAAGTTTGTTTAAGAAACATCAATGTGAGAATTCGCAGTACAAGCAATTTAACTGTGACAAGGCTTACAATGGGTGTTCCTTCCATCTGAGCAGCAGATGTTGAGGAAAGTTTATCAGTTGACATGTAACTCCCAGTCTCCTAGCAACTACAGCATACACAATGGCAAGTGTAATTGGTATTCCAAGACCTCTCGACAACACCTGGATACAATACATTCATGGTTTTAATAATGCATGGTACCATATTTGTCCTGATACTTATACAACACACAGTGTGCTTACAAAATGTTAATGAGATAAACTTGCTGAAACATTTTACAAGAAAATAATGATCAGAAACATCAATATACTACTTACATTCATGTCTATATGGTAAAATGGCAACAAAAAAGGCTTAAAATCTTAAGTCAGCAGCTGACAACTGCTTCTGGTACCAAAATTTAATGGAACAGATATCTCGCCTCCTTCCAACATATGTAGCCTTATACAAATATAAAATGGGACAAAGCCACAATTGGCCGGGTTGCGGGATGAGTGCAATGTTATATGGTATTTATAAGACAGTTAAGGGTGTTTCATTTGTTGAGTATGTAGAATATTTGTTAAAAGAGAGAAAGTTTGGTTGTTTTTTTATGAATTGGTGCAGAAGAGGAGCTAATGAGAGGCTATCGCACTCAAAACAACATCTCAACCAATGAGAGGCAAAGACTGCCATCTTGGTTTTTCCACGTTAAATACTCTAGGAGTTGATTCTACAAAACTGGTACTCCTTTTCCTTGCCGAACTGCGGAAAATGACTAAGTTCCAAAGCATAGAAAATCCAAAAAAAATGTCTGGAATAAATTCATTATAGGAGGTGCATATCTTCAACATGTATATAAACATCCTACAAAGTTTCAAGCTTCTATGTCAAAAACTCTAGAAGGTTGATTCTACAAAACTGGTACCCCTTTTCCCTGCCCACCCACCACCCTGCCCATCCGACATTCACCATACTATAACCCGGATTTACACTATGTGCAACCCGGCCAATAAGTTGAATATTTAATTTTTTCCTTCTTTCCTCTCATTTGTCTTTGTTTCAGTCATTTTACTTTTCAGATCAGTCCTAAAATTTACCATACACAACTTCAGATTGATGTTGAACCATGGATCCTTGATACAAATACTGAGAATGATTCATCCAGTTATTCTCAAATAGCAGTGATAACATCCTTAATTTTCAAAATCTAAGAAGGCCACTTGCAGCCATTTTGTTTGAAAATCCAGCCAGTACTTCTCAATCCCAATATGTATCAAGAGTAACAAGGGACCAAGTGGAGTCATCATATATCATTTAAAAAAATATGTGCTTTACAAGAAATAGAGATAACTAGAAGACTAATTATAATTGTCAAAATCCATGATGCCGGTCTCTCGGCCATACTGTTTTATATACATCCAGGCACCAAGGAATGTCTAAAAATAAGATTTCAACAAGACCCATTCAGTACCTACAGCACAGAAGTGATGATAACAAAAAATTGTTAAAGGACAGTGAGGATGAATTAAGTACCACAGACAAACAGCAAATCAAATTGCCCATCATCTGATCTCTAATGGTCGGATATTGAATGTTCAACATGAAATTCTAAAGGTGTGCCAATATGCTACACTTTTTTCAGTCTATGTCCTTTTCATCTCATTGGCAGATGGTTCAAGTAAGCAACCAATTTTTTGCTGCATACAAAGATTGATAATTTATACAAATGTCCAAAAATCTACAATTAAAAGTAGTGTTAGTATCACGCTAGTCCGAAGAACACATCATATTTCCACAACTTAATTTCTCACAAACTATAAAAAATTAGAGAGAAAATATCAAAGACATTGTTTTTTACCTGATGAATATAGGAATTGAGTTCATCATAGTAGTTTTCAGAATTACCCCGTAACTTGTAATCCTCAAACAGAACACTGTTCAGGGTCTCCAACAACGTCCTCTCTTGTTCTGTACTCCATGACCTCTCATGCTTTTCTAGATGCGACAGAGAATATTATAATCTATTGAATTCATTTTTTAAAGATTAATTTCTCTAATGGATTAAAAGACCTGATATAACTGAAAGAAATTTAAGTAATTGTTATATTCTCTACCAAGGTAGTTTTCAGTACCATGCACAATGTTTGAAGCTGTTTTCATCTAAACTTTCATTAATGGATTGCTTTAATTCTTAATAAATGTATTCAATCTTAATCAAATTCATAGTCAAGCTCATCAGATACCATTACCAATTAAGCTGAAATGTTCACAAGCATGACGATACCAACATTATTATTAAGAATATTGACTGATATTTGACCACAGCATGTGATCCTCAGAATACCATGGTTATACTCAAGCTCATCAGATACCATTACCAATTAAGCTGAAATGTTTACCAGCATGACGATACCAACATTATTATTAAGAATATTGAAATATTGACCACAGCATGTTATGGTTATACTAATTATCGTACAAATAGATACAATTAGAAAGTTTAATAATTAAAATTAATCAAGGTATATATACATGAAATTTATCATGAACCAAAAAAAAATTATTATCTAGGCTTCAAATAATAATAAAAGAGCAAAAATGCATTACATAAACATAGAAGAAAATTAAATAAAATTATGTTACATAAATCAGTTGATGCTATACAGGGACTTAGAAAGATCGTGATCAGCAATGTCAGTGTAATTACTAAAGTTAGTCAAGAATACTGTACCTCTTTTGAAGACACTTGCTATATTTTCTGGGCACTTGGCTATGACTTGTGCTGTCATTTTGTCAAGCAAATCATACACATTGTTTTCTTTAATGTTCTCTGTTGGCTGACACCATTGTGACAAGAGGATTGCACCTGTTTAAACACAATGAGATATATCCCACTTAGACCTCAAGCTGGTCAATCACAAACATGTAAATATCAAGGAGATTTTTTATAAAAATGTCTTCTTTCTTAAAATCTCTATTCCTCTTTCAGCCACTGATTACTGAGCTGCTTGGCCTCAGGATTTAGGACTACACACAGGGCAGTGGTAAGGAATAGGGAGAAAAGTATCAGTAGCTGTATATACTAGTCTGCTTGATCTACAAACTATATAAAGCTCTAATAAGTGAAGGGAGACAATTATGTGTTTCTCATCAATATTTAAGGTTTTAAGTTTGTAGGTCCTCAGGACGTAAACTGGTTACCTGCCCTGAAGTTATAGAAGTACCATGCCGAATTTGTCTACAAGCTTACCTCCCGATTCTGTGAAAACTGTTGATTGTTTGTTGTTTGCCTTAAGACAATTGATACAGATGTTCTTGCTCGAGTTTGATTCATTGAAACAAAATAATATCAGTGTATGCAAAAATGAAAACAGATTCTGTTGAACCATCAGTCAATTAACTTCAAAGGATATCACAGACTTTGCTTGCACTAACATTCAATGACTTTCTATTCATGAGTTTATGACCGCAACACTATTTACTGGTTTACTCAAGCCGTTTGGTCAGTAAAGAGAGTGAGAGTAATACCAGCTTATCAGATTAGACGCTGCCTAGTTAGTGGAAATGAGCTTGAGGAGCCTAATCATCCTGAGGTTGGACTAGTCATATACTACTGATGTGTTTGCGATTTCACAGGAAGCAGTCATCTCGGATCAAATTCAAATATTTACTGTATTTGAACATTCAATTAAATATTCTAGAGACAGGGGTCAGTCTACTCAGGATTATGTGCACTGTATTAAGAGCAGTGATGAAGTACAGGAAATAATCATCAGTCCTGATGACGTCATATAGTATTGAGAAAGTTCAAACAGAGGTAATTATATGTTTTTAGTTCAGGGTAAAGGTCCGTTGGTCCTCAATTCTATGAATACAGAACTACATAATGCAATAATGAGGGACGGGAGATAATGATTCTTTCTCTTGACACAAGATACATGACTGCTGGTCCTCAGAGTTACATAGAGCATTGACAAGGAGAGTGAGATAATGATATATTTTTAGTCAGGGGTTACAAAGTTACTGGTCCTCAGGACTACATATAGCAGTGATACAGACTACAGATAATTATCTGTATTTATAAACTAGTCACTGGTTAAAAGGCTACTGATTCTTAGAATTGCACAGTATTAGTGATGAGGATTAGGGGTAATCATCTCTCTATCATCACTGACTACAAGTCCTCTGGTCCTCAGAACTATATATAGGGGTGACATGGAAGGGGAGATAATTACCCGTTTTCACTGACTACAAGTCCTCTGGTCCTCAGAACTATATATAGGGGTGACAAGGAAGGAGAAATAATTACCGGTTTCAAGCCATTGATCATTAGGATGTTGGTCAAGGTGGGTTATCCATTTCTTCTGTAGGTAATGGTGCTGAATATTTCTTAAAACTTTTGCTGCATAAAACTTGTTGGTAAGGTTGCAGTGACTAAAGAAAAAAAGACAAAATGTCTTTTGCGTGATGAATAGATTTAAAGTAATTGTTTCTTAATCAACAAGATATTTCAGTCATTTAAGTTCAAAGATTAGAAAATGTTCAGAACAAAGAGATCCCAGAGGGATCTTGGTGCCCCCTATTGTTTGATCTTTATTTGTTCTTTAAAAGTTTGATCTTTTCCCTTCTCTCTTTTTGCTCTTAATGATAAGAAATTTGAACATTAATTCTTTGCAGAAATAGCAATAATAATCTTTAACTACCAAATCCAAGATGGTCAACTGGAAGCCATTTTGTTTTTTCTGATGTCCCAAAATCAACTGGGCAAAACTAAGAACAAAGGGGAACCTACACATGAAATTTGAGAGAGATCCATTCAGTACTTCATAAGAATTTGCGATAACAATCTTTATCAGACAAAATCCAAGATGGCCATCTGTCCGCCATTTTGTTTTCCTACTCCATCCCAAAATCAAGGGGACACAACCAGGGATCACAGGATACCTACACATGAAATTTGAGAAAGAACTATGCAGTTATTCTCAAGAAATAATAATGACAAACTTTCAAAGTCCAAATCCAAGTTAGCCGTCTGTCAGCCTTTTTGTTATTTCATCAGTCCCAAAAGTAAAAGGACACAACTAGGGATCATGGGAAACCTATATTAGAAATTTGAGAGAGGTTCATTGAGTATTTTTCAAGAAATAGCAATAACATACTTTACTATGTGAAATCGATGATGGCCACTTGTCAGCAATTTTGATTTTCTGATCAGACCCAAATTCAAACAGGCACAACTAAGATTCAAGCCAAAATTTCAGAAAGATCCATCCAATACTTCTGAAGAAATAATGATAACAAAACTTGTTGACTGTTTGACCTTGGACTTAAGGCAATATGAATAGTCCACCATACGATGATGGTGGGCTAAAAAAATAATATGTGTGTTTCATAGCTGTGTTAAAGGTATATCTATATGTACCTTTTTTGGTCATGGAAAATTTCCATTAATGAGTTCAGTACAATTTCTCCAGCATTGCACTCGTCTAAAAGTTTTATAAAATCTTCAAAGCCTTCCTCAGAGACCTCTTCACAGCTGTAATATGTTGGGGACAATTTTTCCACCATGCTCCGCACTTTCTGTCCTACCATATAGCACTTTCTGAATTCAGATGACCAATCGTATTGCTGAGATCTGCTGTAGCGTTGTAACAAACCAGGCCATCTGTTAATACATAAGTACAGTATCTCAATACTTTGTGAAGGTGAGTTTTGAATTTCTTTATTCAAACTACTGTGGTCAATAATAAGGCCTTCAAAATACTTCAGTACAGGTTGGGCACAACAGTGCACATGGATAAATTCTGCATTTGAGTGATAGTTACTGTTTTGAGTAATAACTTAGTCACTCAAAATGTAAATTTCTCTTAATCATTCACAACAAAAAAGCATGTCGACTTTTATAACATGACCTAAAAGCTGATGAGACATTGTATATATTTGTATCGGAAATACTAGATTTTTTTTATCTAACTCTGAGCTTATATTGAATGGCAGTTTATATCACTGACTTTGTTCTCCATTGACTACAGCATATAGCCATCAGGAGCATATAATGTGAATGTCATAAGTGAGCATGAATCAACCTGTTCTATTTTTAGCAAAACTATAGGCCATGAAAACTGTAAAATATACAATGTTGCATTGGCTATTGGATCAATGAATGGGCTGAGTAAAACATATGATGCATTCTTTGCTGCAAATATAAAGAATATAGAAGATATGATATCCTTTGTATCACTACCTTACATGATGGGGCTCTATTAAATACTGTTAGATATCCTACTGTGATTCCTTAAAGAACTGATCTATGAGTGAAGACAACAAGGAAGCAATGATATAGCGAAGAATTTCAAGTTAACTAGCCTTGCTTTATTTATAAAACGTTTTTCTCCCAAAGAACACAAAATAAAAAGTAATAGAGAATTTAATAATTTTCAAACTGCTTGTGCTTACTTTTGTAACAAACAATATCTGTTAACATTTGATATTCATAAAACAAAAGGTATGTTTACAGCTGAAATAATATTCTATATTGTATATTACTTTTAGATTAAAATAAGAAAACCATCTTTAAATAAATGGCATTGAAAAGTTGAGGAATTTCCTGATTGACTGGTGTAATACTTCATTTTGATTTATTACTTTCACTTTTATTATGAATGAGATTTGCTTCTTGCTGACCGACAAAATGGCTCTAGCCAGGCCTGTCAGTTACTAACTACAACATTGAAGTGATTCGGGCACAGGTACAAGATTACATAAGAACATTATAAATAGAGGGATTTCACGGCTCAGAGAATAAAGATCAAATGTTTATAACGCCATTTGGCACGGTTTCTTTATTATATCTCTCTACAATATATATCTCTAGTTGTCTTCAACTACGTTATGAACAGTCAAATTTTTAGTTGCAAATGTATTGCCATATGATCAATAGTTTTCATTCAGAAAAAAGTAAAGGCAAAAATAATGCTCAATTTCACTGGCATTCTAACCGAAAATTGTATGCTGATCAGATTATTACAAATCGTTGCAAAATACCAAACAGCGTAAACTAGACTTTCAATTGGACTTTGTTTAAGCCAGTTCAAAATATATGTCACGGTGTTTACTTCGAATATTAGCGTCAGCTGTTTATACCTCTGTTGCAATTTCTGTCTCCACAGCTCCTTACTTTGACAGATACCATTGATGATTGTGCATGTTTGTGAAATATAACAAATATCTTTTCCATTTAAAACGTCATTTTGCAGTATAAAGTCTATTAGTTCGTGAGGAAGATCCAGAAAATTCATAGCGAAGTCGACATTCGGGACAGCTTTTCCGTCTGTGTCGGCCATCTTTGTTGTTTACGAAACTGGGGACCGATCTGTGATAATAATTACCAGAAACAAATGTGAACGACTTAAATAAGAATGATATGCTTTCTTCTCATAGTTTGATAAAATTAACAATCAGTTTGTTGTGAACTATAGTAGGAATTATTATCTTGGAACTTCACCTTATCATGTGTATCATAATTTGTACGGGAGCAGTTTGTAATTATAGTCATCTATTTTTCTGGAGTAAGGACCAGCCTTGTTTGTTCATGAAATAAGGACGGGCTGTTGACCTCGTTTTGTTATCTTTTTAACCAGCTTTGATTTCCGTAGTAATATTTGCATGTCCGTTCCGATTTATAATGAAATGTTGCATTTAAAGAGTTTCCGAACCGATTTGTTCACAAAATGTAAATAGAGTTGTCGCGCTTTAACTCAATGTCGGAAGTCAGCTGAACAGTAACCCAAATAAAGATTTTTCTTCTTCAAATTCAATTGCGCGGATTATTGGGACTCCTTCAAGAACAAATGTGCAAATTTAGAACAATATCCACCTCTGTGGGAATTAGATTTAAATTTCTAACCCCGATATGACGAACAGCATTCACGAAATCATTGCCTCCCGCCCCGAAATACGAACCATAACTATTTTATTGTGTCTTCTATAACGTCCAGTTTTTATTTATTTTCATTCAAAAGGATAGTCTATGGTTATTTCATGATTTTTCATTCGACCTCGGTTGATATCATTTTTGGTTGGTGTAATACAAATCACGAACTGACATTGCTTGTTTAGTACTAGCACGTAGACAAATGCACTCTCACAACACCTTTCTGAGAATGCTAAACTACACTGTAACATTTACATGACCGCCACATGCATGTACAACAAGGGGCCCAAGGCCCTTAATGGTGACATGAGTCAAAATGCTTCTTAAAACATTCATAGAAATGATTTTTCAAAAAATGTAAGATGACATGAACTACATTGTACAAAGTAATGCACATGTAAACTGTGCATATGATAAACTGCTGTTCCCAGCTAAGGCTTCTAACCAAGTTTAAGTTAAAAGACATTATTTTCAAAAATTGAATTTTCCTATTTGACTTGAAATCTTCCAACCAGGAACAGTAGAGCATCTTTGAAATTTCAACAGTCGATTTGACCCATTTCGGCCCCGCCTAACAGTCCCTGGGGATCAGCCGTGGTCTGTATGTACATCTTATCAAACCGTCAGCTTATACTAATAATTCTAACCAAGTTTGAATTTATTTGTAAGGGAAAAACAAATCATGCTTAAAACTGCAATTTTCAATACAAGCTGTAGTAAATTTTACCCACCCCCACAGAAAAATGAGAGATTCTGCGGTCATGAAATTTATAATATTGGTAAAGAAACATAAAAAACTTTCACCCAAGAAGACTATTTGGTTCTACTTTATCTGGGTATTGAGAAGAAGATTTTTGAAATTTCAGTTAACTTGGCCCATTTTTGGCTCCGTCTCTCTGAACCTGGGGGTCAGTATGTGCATCTCATAAAATTGTCAGCTAAAACTAATAATTCTAACCAAGTTTGAACTATTACTGAAAGCAAATTTTGATAAATGCTATGAAATGTAATATAAGCTGTATTACCCATCAAACACAATGGTATCAATCTGCTGATATTGACCATGCTGCTACTCATATGGCACCATTCATATCAAGGAAAGTAGCAACGATTTAAAAACTTCAAGGAAAAGATAGAAATACCTGGTGACACCAGCAGAAAAACGGACATATTGGCTAAACTTCACGAGGTGGAAAATGTGCTGTGTAGACAGTTGAATCGGCCAGTAAACAGTGGTGACATCTTGGAATATGTCTTGGACGCCTTTATAGAGCAACACAAGCGTCAGTCGAACATTGAATCCACAAACACAAACATGTCTTCCTTCCTACAAGTGTCAAGAAAGGATGCTGATCAAACCATATTCATTGCTGCAAAATCATCGCTTCTAAAGTTAATGGAGGTCACAGAAAACCATTCTCGATACTCTGATGGCAACCTTAAAAAGAACTCTTTAATCAGTAAAGAACATATTGCCGTAGTGAGATTCCATTGCCAAAAGGAAAAACATCACACCATGCTTAGGTCATCATCACCATATTTACCTAACAATGCGTATTTCGTCAATCAGCGAGTGATATATTACTTTATGAGCGGTGGAATGCTACTTATATAATATACAAGGTTTTTCCATGCTTCCCATTTTGGGCACATCAATAAAAAGAATAGAATAACATCTTTCAGTCCTACATGAGTATCATAAGAGTGTTGAGGCTGCTCTTTTGGAAGAAATTGGAACGCATGACCACCTTCAAGACATAGACATAATGACAGGTGCTTGGTATGGCTAACGGGAAAATGCGAAAGATTCCAGTGTTGTAGCTACTGGAGAACAAATATATAAAGTACTTTAATGTATCCATGTGACAAAGGCTGACGATATTGTTTCACAACGCCATAATCGGTTTGGAACTGCAAAAAATGTTTTGGTGACATGGACGTAACCGTAAATGTCCATACTCATGACTTGAACTTGTCCATTAATAGATATGTGAGGGACCATCAACCAATGACAATTACACAAAATGATGCCTGGCATGCAGTGAAATCTGTGAAGAAGACGCTGGTTAATGTATTTAAAGAACCAGCTTAACTGAGAGGAAAAACATGGTATGATGAACTAATTGACAAAGTTCAGCCAATATGCACTCGTTTTCATTGGGTAACAAAATCCAACAAAACTTCGGACATCTTTAACCAATGCTATCCAGCATTATCACCCCCATGAACATGAAAATTGTCACCTTACTGCGAGGTGTCTGACAGAGCAATGGTATGAGCCGTCAGTTACTCTTTTGCAGAGTAAAATGACAGATAATTTAATGCTGATCCTAATATTTGGCCATCTACAAACACCCAGAAAACTATGTCTTTGCTCGAAATACGTATTATGTGGAAAGTTTCAATATTACAATGGACATTTTCAAGGACAAAAGAATTCTTTCAGTGAAGATCAATATTTATCAATGTCTCAACTAGCAGTTTGTCACTGGAATGAGAATGTGGATAGACCCCACACCCCAGTTTGGAACTCTCGAGGGGCACAAGCCCCACACAGTAAAAAAAGGAAAAAAACTATAAGGCACCATAATATGATTACAGGAACTCTATTTGGAAGAGTTTTATTATAGCATCTTGGAGTAATCAGTAAAACGGGCAGCCAAGAATAACGATATTACATTATGGGAATCAAATATTCATGTTATCTAAACTAAAGGTATTTTTTTTGCTTATTTATTTGAGAAAACTGTAGTCGTCTAATTAGTAGAAATAGTAACGATACACTCAAACTTAGCATGGTTTTCTAAAAGAAAAGGGATATATATTACATTTTACTAGATACAGATCAATATTAAAACATATCTGTTCCAGCTGAAGGCATGGGTATTACTAGGACAAATGTGGAGTAGGTTTTCGATAAGCACTGTACAGATATTGCATATTAATAAGTAGTGATTCTTGTTAATTTGGAATTCTTAAGATTATTATCTTTTTCTGATCTGATGTTGTACGATTAAAATATACATGTCTTAAAATTTTATTGTGATAATCTTATTATTTTGACAATTGTCCATAGTAACGCTGCCTATGTGGTTGTGTTTAGAAGCAGCACCAGAAGCTGTTTACTTAACGATAACAAGTACCGCCCACTCTCTCTTATCAATTAATTGCTGACCATATGTTTTTTTATATATATAGGTTGCTTCCTGTCTTTAATCATAAGTTTATAGAGAATTCGTATGGTGGCGGCCATTGCAAAAACAAATGTATACTGGAAGTTTAAAAAAATCAATCATAACTGTCGCTGTGTAATATATATAAAAAAACTGGTCGCTGAAATTTCACGTTTATCTATACTAGGGAGGAATTCCAGTTATCGACCGCCGCCAGGACAAAAGTAAAATCGCGATAGATATAGGAACTCTTAAATCTCGCACAAGATAATCATATCAAAATACACACATGCGACATCAACACAGGTGTATACCTTACACATGCGTATACACCATATCCTAATCAATATGTCGGTACATGAGAAGTCAGTGCCAAAAGCAAGTAAACCTTATCGAACCAAAAGTCTAACTCTACAGACATCTTAATCCGTATACTCACATCTCCAATAGGAGATACAGGAAATAGTCAAAGGCCTTGATGGGCATCAAAATAACTGCAACACACTTTCTGCTGTCCAAAACCGTTGTCTTCTCTTCGGTGAGTGCATTGAGGGCGGATTAGTAGGAATGGAATGGAAGATCCTACAGAAGTATTCCTCCAACTGCTCAGCTATCGTCCTATCTCAGAAACATTTTATATGGCCGACCGTATTCATATGCTTACAGAACCATCCTTTTTGAAAATGTAGATGATAGCATGACTATACTCAGCTTATCTAGAAAAGAGCTTGTATGAATCATAGTTTGTCTATAATGTCATTAGTTAGATGTAGTATTTTTATGTGAAATATTACCAAGATCAGTGGATTTACTTCAGATTAATCTACCCAATATATCACTTGATTTCAAATTCATTTTTAAGATTGAAATTACAAATATTCTCATGGTTACGTATATCTAAAACTTTCGTAATTACTAAAACACTGAAATGGGATACATTTATTGAACACTATGAATCTTTACCAATATCTGTAGCAACATTTGCAAAGAAACCACTACAATCAGATAATCCAGAGTCTATTGTTTTTGCAGTTTTATTAAACTTAATATTTTGCTGGTATGTATCACATTTGTTTGATAATAAAAGGTCGGTTGGTTGGTCTGAAATCTTAACACCCTTGTCCGTCTCCACAACTCACGGTAATCTTACGTAATCTTGTATTACATGCCTCTTATGTTTTGTAACGATGCTTCTATGTTTAAATTTTCGGCAGTTTTGTCAGATTTACATTTTCCAAATTTCCATAGTAGGTTTGTCTTTTTTAATTTTTAGTTTTCATTCATTGCCGAGTTCATAAAAGAGCTTGGAGTGTCCCTTGGAATTTCTGTTTAATAGGAACATCATCATTTATTTCATCACATCATTTCTTACCTCGCTGTAGAATTTCTCAGGTGCCCGCTAAGCCTCATTAATGTCATCAATCATGTAAGCGACAGAGAATGGTGTGGCAAGCAGTTCCTGTTTCATCTTTGCTTCGCCGAGCGCTTTGAAGCACTAGTATCCATCTTTTTTTGCGAAGATCATATTTCATGACCGTCGATGATGACAGTCACTAAGTCCAGTGTTTGAAATCATAGAGTTTCTAAAAAGAAACTTGGTTTTCTCGCTAAAGCACAACCACAAAGGATGGCTTTTAGTTTTTCATAGAATATGTGAAGTTTGTCATCAAATGTTCAAGATAAGAAATATCACACATATCCCTGCAAATTTTGCTTTTTCTTGTGTCTTTCATGTCAAAATTGACGTCATTAAACACAATAATACGGTCTTATAGTACTTATCAATCTTGTTATGATAATGATTTTTAAAAGAAGTGCTTTGATTGTTACATGTTGGGGGACATACTGATTTCATCAACAACTCAACTTTGTTTACAGTTAATTCAGTGGTAAAATCATATTTAAAATTAGTAAAAAAAAAATGAAAGAGGGATATATGTCACAGCAAATGAGTATTGATCTGTTGACATTAGACGCTAATTAAAAGAGTTATATGACAAATAACGGTGTATTATTTCTAACTCTCGCGGGAATAGGAAAGGAAATCCACTTTGATTATTAATAAGTATTTCATTGTATTTCGCAGGGCTTTGCAGATACAAAATTTGTGGTTCGACGATCTACACGACTCTTTAGAAGCTGGGAAATAGTAGCATGGGTAGCATGGGTCTCTGATACAGAGCTATCTTTGTTATAAAATTATACTTGCAAGCTACGTCTTTGTATTTTTGACGTATACGTAAAGAATCAAAGAAGAGGTAATTAGTACTATTATCATACTATCTTGCCCTATCACTGGTTTTAGCATAAAATTTAAAGCTCAAATGTAATTAATGTAAATACGTCATTACAACTAACGTAAATGCAAACTACGAGACAGGTATCATTTCTCTTCAGTGGAGGACAGGTTTGTCAAGCTATGATTTATTTATTAGCAATGTCTTATCTCATAAAGTAGATATATTTTTATTTGAAAGATCAGATCTCCTTTATTGGTGCAGTATAGGATCAACATTGCTCCATACGTAAAGGCAAACATTTTGCAAGATCTTATCACCAATTAACGTTAGATAAAGGAGACCTGTAAACAACCTGTAAATAGGTCAAAATAACAAGATTTAAGTCAAGGGGAATATAAGATATGTATCACTCCAACAAGTCACCGCCTGCAACAATACAGAATCACAGGTTTCTGCTGACATTTCTACACTTTGGTATAAAATACTATTAAAATACGCCCTTTTAGGTTGTGCCTTAAAGTTTGTATAGCACCTCTCTTCTACCTTACACGTATCACTTCCTGATTGAAAGTTTTATTCCACATTTCGACGTTGTTAAGTAGGGAGACTAAACGCCCAATAATGGTTCATGATACTTCACACCGTCTAAGATTTGAAAGCTTCGATTCATACAAATATTAATTTTCGTTTTATATATATTGATATGACAAAACTTAATAACATGTCTCCTTTGCTGTTTTTGTTTTAGGATGTGTTTTCCTACATCAAAATAATATTTGTTTTGATATCGTATATTGTGCAATGCGACGTTCTCAAACCCGTTACAATGAATTGTAAGATGCTGATACTCTCAATATGCAAGATCGAGGTATGTAATGTTTTAATCAATAGTACTCTGAGATCTTTTCAACACATGATGCATTTATGTAGATCCGGAATAACAACTGACTTCACTGGTAAGTTTTTGTCCGTAAATCACAATATAATGATTTAATTTTTATACACTATAAAATATAATTGAGGATGTTGGATTTATAATATTATGTAGTATATTATATATAATATAATAGTTGAAGTTCACTCAGAGTGTAACATTTAAAGTCATAAAATGAATAGAACTAACACTTTATAATGATTATGTAACCAGAAGAGATGTTATAATTATCATGATGGGAGACCAGTAGAGATGTTATAATTATCATGATAAGAGACCAGTAGAGATGTTATAATTATCATGATGGGAGACCAGTAGAGATGTTATAATTATCATGATGGGAGACCAGTAGAGATGTTATAATTATCATGATGGGAGACCAGTAGAGATGTTATAATTATCATGATAGGAGACCAGTAGAGATGTTATAATTATCATGATGGGAGAGCAGTAGAGATGTTATAATTATCATGATAGGAGACCAGTAGAGATGTTATAATTATCATGATGGGAGACCAGTAGAGATGTTATAATTATCATGATGGGAGAGCAGTAGAGATGTCATAATTATCATGATAGGAGACCAGTGGAGATGGCATAATATGCATGATGGGAGACCAGTAGAGATGTCATAATTATCATGATGGGAGACCAGAAGAGAGTTCATAATAACCATGATATGTAACCAGAAGATATGTTATAATTGTCATGATGAGAGACCAGTAGAGATGATATAATTATCATGATAGGAGACCAGTAGAGGTGTTATGATTATCATGATGGGAGACCAGTAGAGATGTTATAATTATCATTATATGAGACCAGAAGAGATGTCATGATAACCATGATAGGAGACCAGAAGAGATGTTATAATTATCATGATAGGAGACCAGTTGAGATGTCATAATAACCATGATAGGAGACCAGTAGAGATGTTATAATTATCGTGATAGGAGACCAGTGGAGATGTCATAATATGCATGATGGGAGACCAGTAGAGATGATATAATTATCATAATTAGAAACCAGTAGAATTGTTATAATTATCATGATAGGAGACCAGTGGAGATGTCATAATATGCATGGTGGGAGACCAGTAGAGATGTTATAGTTACTATGATAGGATACCAATAGCTATGTTATAATTACAATGATGTGACATTATTAGAGATGTTTTAATCATAATACTGTGAGACCAGGAGAGATGTTATGATTATCATAATGGGAGATTAGTAGAGATGTATGTCTGTCCGGAGTCAGATATCGCTGTTGATTAATCATGCCGACATTAAGTTACTGCTTTGTTGTTCTGCACGAACATCAATATACATGTACCTATTTTCTGTTCCAAATCTTGGTTAACGGTTCTGTGCATAATTTTACCCTGTCTCAATCTTACTTTTTTAATACACCACATGAAATTTAACATGCGGTTATATGTTAATAGAATTACATTTACTAATTAACACATGACAGTATGTTGATATGATTATTAATAACACAATTAAAATATATGTACATAGGCAATTTTAATCTAGGTCAACCATTATCTTCATATAATGCACTTTTTACAAGTGCCTACAGTGGATAATATCAGACCGCTCCTCATATCATACAACAATGTTCTTATGTCAATATCATTCTAATAGGCAAAAGACAGTCTGGACAATCATTAGAGTTCCTACTAAAACTGATGTCCGCGCTTTATAATACCAGTGACATTCACGAATGGCAGAAATTGGAAGGCGAAGTTGGTTGTGCACATTAAGCAGTGTGAATATAAGGCATTGCTTTGAAGAGAAACTTAATCTTGCAACATCTGTATGTTGGAGGATTATTTATATATGTAAACAGGAAAAGTTACAAGAGGATAAGTGACGTTAGATAGCAAATAAAGACGAGTGACATTTTAAAAAATGGATATACAATAAAATGTCTTAATGTTCGTCAAATTATTCTCAATGGTGCAAATATATCTGTATCCAAATATATATAATTAAATCTCCTATAATTGTTTCTTTCATTTATTGCAAGAGCGATTATGAAGACGTTCGGGCTTATTGCTTCGTGTTTCTGGCTTGCACAATTCAAACGTAAGTTTACAAATACAGATGTACTTACTTGTATATATTTGTCAAAATATTCTATACCTTATAATGAACTTCTTAGTGCTTCTATACACAATATAACGACATTTTAAAGGAACCATACTCAAAGTAACAAAATGAAAATAAGGCATTTGTAAGTATTTAGATTGTCTATTGTTTAGATAATGCCATGACTGATGCTATCATAATTTTGTAATCGCCTTCAGTATGCAGCTCCCATCAAGAGAGATCCCTCTTATCTTATATGATAAAAGAAGAGACAGCCAAATCTTTCCTAGCCACTTCTAGAATCAACAGGAGAAGTGCTGAGTTGTGTGCCAACGATGAATGGGGTTACTGTGAGGTGAATAAAGACGAATGCCGAGTAAGTTTTAAAACTAGGTCTGGATAATATCAATGGAAAATAAAAGATGGGAAACGTTATCAACAAAATACGTTTAATCTTTGTTATTTCTTTCAATGTCATTAATTCCATATTACGAATGCATTCTATTTCCAAGAAACATGTTGAAAGTACACGTGAATCACGCTGCCAATCCGTTTCCTGTCCGCCCGGAATGACATGCTACATGTCTACACCCTGTCCGAGCCATTTTGCAACCGAATGTGATCGTAAGTTATGTAAAACAAATGTGAGATAATTGAATCAAATTGAATTGGAGATTTGGAACATAGGGATATTCAATCTTAAAGTATTACCGTAAATATAATCCATAGAATTAATATCCTGTCAGAACCGGTTATCCATTGATTTCACCGGCCTTTTGGTGTGCATGTTCCTCCAGTTCTAGATCATAGAACGCGATAACCTAAAGACATTACCAGTGATATACTGTTAAATGACGATAGTGCAGATAGTGCACCGAAATACATGTCCTTTCTATATTTTGGATACGTTAAACGTGTTTTAGTATGAAATAGAGATATGCTAAACACTTTTCATCAGTACTAACTTTGCTAAAAAGTTTAACATTTTATCCATTAACTTTAGATATAAGAGTGCTTTTAAATGTATTTGTTGAAAACAATAATATAAATAAAACAATATAGATATAAAGAAAGGAAGATGTTACATTTGGCACATACGCATATATATGATTTTAATTTGTAATGATGAAAATGAGTAGTGAAACACTGGATAAAGCAGGAGAAAAAATTATGACTCTGTAGTGAACTTGTCAAATTACGGTAAATAAATACATATTTTTACCGAAGATGAGATCAATTTTCTCATCAAGGCGATTATAATGTTTCTTTTGGAAAGGAAATAAAACTACCAAATACATCAGCAAGGTTTCATAATGAGATATAACAATAGATATATTCTTAAAGGAAAATCTGTTTTGGTAACTTATGGGGTTAAGCTTCATATTCTATATTTCATATTATGGTATTTTGATTTTTGATATTTCAGCAAATCCCTGCCTTGGAATGCCATGTGAGAATGGTGCCACTTGTACAACAGTCGGTACGAATTACACGTGTACGTGTAAGCCGACCTACTACGGGCACACCTGCTCATACGGTATTGATTTTCAATTTTCAAAATTATAATAGTCAAATTATGTCAAATTCAGCTAACTAATGTCACAACATAGTAGGTGGTATGTAACATCTTAAGTAGATATGGCGCATTCTTTCTTTTTTCAAGATCCATCAGCTTGCACACGCTGTATATATCAAGAGAGTCGACGTTACTTACCACTTGCTCAATTGAAAATGTACACGGTCATAGCAAAGATGCTTGAGTTTTGCCATTTGCTCATGGAGCATTTTTGATCTAATCATTATTAGTTTAAATGTATATACATTGCGATATGTGGGTGGAACTAGATAATTGCTTGGATATTCAGTGTATAGTGGTACGGTTTATAATTATACAAATAACATGATGTTCTTATTAAGCTACATATATCAGATATATAAATATGAACTTCAGTCAGTCGTGGGGCTTTTACACCTTTCATCTAGATGTTGATACTTCTTACGACACCAAATTCACCTCCTTGATTCCAAAATTAAGACCCTTGCCATCACTGACGAATCCTAGAAAGATGAAACAGCTTTAAGATTCAGTTTAATTCATTGTTTAATGTATCCAACTCACGATTTGTAGTGAAAGTATGTTTTGTAAAAGTTTTGCACATTACACATAATATATAAGTAAAACCTATTGTCATGCCAGATTTCAAAGACAAAATGTTTCCCTTGAACCATTATTGTCCCCGTTTAATTTAGGATTGACAAAAAATAGAATGGCTTAGAGGCGGCCATCGTGGATTTTGAAAATGAAAGTTTGTCATCTTCCTTTCGTGTTCAGTATGGTAGGGATCTTTCTCAAATACGATATATATCTTTCCTTTTGTCCCTAGCGATGATCTTTAAATTTTGGGACTGATCAGGGAAAAAATGGCTGACAGGCAGCGATCTTGGATTAAAGAGAGGGAAAAAATCACGCTTTTGCAGGAGAAATAGATATAGAATGATGGTAGCTTAGGGATTTTTGTTCTATTATTATTTGACTAGCAAAACAAGCATTTTAAGGAGGGGATTTATAAAAGCTGGTCAGAGTGGATTTAATGCTTTCAAATTTCGCCTGGGTTGCTATATATATATGTATATATATATTGTATAAGCTTACATAAGTGTTCATAAAATGTATTACGTTGGTGCTCTAAAGATTAAACTATTGTTGATACCATTATCGATGAAGATCAAAATACGATGTCTTTACATATATGAATAATTCTCTTGTACATGGTTTTACTTTGTAACATCTCTTTGTATCTAACGAGTATAGTGGACGCCTGCCACACATCGCCTTGCGAAAACGGCGCAACTTGTCATAGGGATGGATCAAACTTCAACTGTTCCTGTACAAATCGATTCACTGGATCACAATGTACCCAAGGTACAAGTGAAATTGAATGAGTGATTGGTTGTTTGCGACGTCCTTGGTATTCTTTAACACTTCATATAAAACATCTATTACCATATTAATTTGATTACAAACCTCATTGTCCAGTGTCCTATACGAGACTAGAGATATACCAGTTCATGCCATAATTGGACTTGTGTTATAATAATACAATACACTGACGGGATACATAGAAAATATCTAATAGATGTAATTCTGAACACATGAAAATACTTTGGACTACAATATAAGTAAACTAAGTTCATAGAAATAAAAAACTAAATCAGGTGTTACAAAGCACATGAGGCTGATATATGCTTATAAATGCCTTTAAATATTGTTATGGTCATAATGCTGTTACAGATTGTAGACCAGGACCAGCCGATATCGTCATCATATTGGATGGCTCAACTAGCACCGAGCAAGTGTTTAATTCTTCCAGACAGTTTGCCGCATCGTTTGTGGAAGGCTTGTCCATAGACTCAGATGATTTCCGAGTAGCAATGCTTACATATTCAGTAGATGTGCATGTGGAATTCAATTTTACAACACATACAAACAAATCGTCTTTGCTTGCTGCTATTAAAAATGTTTCCAGTAGGACAGGCATATCATACCTACACACAGCTCTGATGAAAGCCCAGAAGGTAAAGTCTGCCTAAGTTTAACTTAAGAAACACGACTAATAACACAATCAGTGAAGACCATATGTGTAATTTTTTGATGATTGGTATGATGATCTTAAACGCGTTCCGATTCATAGGAAACAAGTTTGAATTTCTGTCCTGACTAGAGAAAAGGAAACACTCGTTACGTGTCTCAGACATACCATATACAATGGACATAAATGTAAGGTTCTTATCATCACATCATCTATAAACTTTTTCAAACATTATTGAAAGCATTTACTATATTGATGCAGAATCTATATTAGAGATATAATGCCATGATGATGAACGTACGTTTCGAATGGAATAACAAACATACTGCTCCAATGCATTAACAATATACTCACAAGAGAAAGGTGCTTCATGCTCAACAAAAAATTCAACTGTATATAGGTTTTAAAAAAATTATTTTACAGATAATAATTTCCGAATCATCACCAGGAGTGCAGAAATATGTCCTCGTGGTATCCGATGGGCTTTCCACTCGTCGACAAGAAGCCATAGGGCAGTCTCAATTACTAAGAAATTATGGTGTTAAGGTTCTTTGCGTGGGGATCGGAAGGCAGGTAGCCCAAGAGGAACTACTGCAGATAGCCTACGGTATTTCTTATGTCTTCACTTCAGACAACAATGACGCCCTCAATGCTGTTCTTATGGAGACCGCAGACACAAATTGCATAGGTATAGTATACAGTATTTTAGATATGTAATAATGACATTGTAAACACTACCATTATTAGAATAATATAGTTATCGGTTCTTTATATATTTTAAAAGCAGAAACACAATAGACACACTTTTTCGTTTTTCAGATTGCGTCCTGAATAACGCCTCCGATATTGTATTGCTGGTAGATGTGTCTAAACACCAGAACAATCAACTACAGAGAACACTAGACATGATTAGATTCTTTATACAACAGACCCGGGCATATATCTCCGACACAAGGTTTGCTTTGGTCACATTCGACGTTCGTCAACATGTGATATTTAGCTTGACTGACAATCAGCATACCGACAGTATACTCGTCAAAAGTCAAATAGGCATCACTTCCTCCGACCAGGAGTCTAATGCTAGTTCTGCATTATCCTTTGTTCGAACATCAGTATTAAGTACTGCTAGAGATACTAGTCGGAAGTTTGTTGTAGTGTTCTCTGATGAAAGTTTGACAGACGTGGATGCAATTGTTTCTGAGAGACAGGCGCTGAATATGGATAATGTCACCGTGGCGTTTGTTCCAGTTGGAAGCTCTGTTGATCCTGACACTGTGTATTCTATAGCTTACGACGCCAGCGATGTCTACTATATTGGGCAAGACAAGGAGGACCATGATGAAGAGAGGCTAAAGGCCTTGGTAGCCCGAACGGCTCACGTAGAATGTGATTCTGATCTGTTTTCTAAACGACAGTGATAAATACTGCATATATGTGTTATCCTGTAAATAATGATTAAGAAATTAAAGTTAGTTGTCACGAAATGCATGACTGTATATGTTATGTACAGTGAATAAACCACAATCATACGGCTGTTTGTCAGTGTTTGCACAGATTTCTTCATGAATGATTTTCATATTGCTTACTGTTGATTTCACTCTATCCTGGTATCAGTTATGGTTATTGCGACAAAGATTTGTAAAAGGAATAGGCAGATTCATCTCTTTGCATTCCACATTTTAACTAATCTATTTTTGACGCGTTTTAGTGTAAATATATGTCCCCTTGACGTTCTTTTTAAATTGTCCTATATTTGAAAATTGAATAACATGACTAATGCAGCTCCCTTTTAAAATTTCGACCTAATTATGTTTTTCTACATTTTCACAAATACATAATTATATACAACTACACACCGACAGAATTTATATTCAAACTCAAATTCCATGAAACTAGGACAAATTTGAACTGAAAAATGATGTACACGAAGACTTTTGATCTCTAATTCAGCCGATAAATAAAAAATAAGCTATTCAAACACGACACAAAACATTAAGCCAGCAGACCCATCCAAACTCAAATTCAATGTGACAAAGCAAAATATAAGCAAATGATTTTTACGGAATGTCCTGAGAAGAACAAGGAGGATAAAGCTAGGTGTTCCGTTCTGGAAATGAAAGCGTTTTTTTTGCGACCGTCATGTCTATCTTGATCAATTTCATGTCACACAAAGAAATATAATATTTCCCAATTTGATCATTGTGAGAACCGTAAGCTTTCATCAATGTACATATTTCCTGTGCTGTGAGTTTGTCAGTTATCAAATATTGTGATATTGTAGCAAGCCCATGACTACCGAATTAACTGCGACATATAAACACCATACCAGGGGTGTTACTATCCAAAAATGGAAACCTGCAAAATGAAAGTGAAATCATCGATTTATCTTGTTAGAAAGCTGTGCGAATTGATTTCGTTATAGTAAACGGTCGATGTAAGCTTTTGATGTAGATGGCCCTTTATTTCCCATTCTGGTGGGTATGATGGACATGGTCAGTATAAATAGTTTAAGACAAGACGTCTTCAGCATATCTGAAAAAGTGAAATTTAAGGACTTTCCAACGATTTCATAGCCTTTGATAAAGTTTTAATGAACTCAGCCTCGAATAAAAAGAAGCATAAGACAGCCAAGAGAGAGGAATGGTTTGTATCTATAGGTATGCTAATATTACCCAATTACTTTGATATTATGTCTCACACCCACTGTCAGCCTTGCTTTTCGTATTGACGGGAGTGTCCTTTTTCGTTGTTTTTATTGGCATTAGTGTCGAACCAGGCAATGATTGTTGTGAAGCTCTACACTACTTCCTAGGCGTGCAAACATCAGCGTTTTGTAGCTAGATGTATTATTTAGATGCCATGCTTGTTACAATTAATATTTCTAGCTAGTCGTGACGCACTACAATAATGTTTCGTCATTTTTTGTTGTTGCTAGCCATGGTGCATGACATTATTTTGCTTCCAAATATAATTTTATTAATATAATATTATATATTATATTATATATTAATATTAATAGTCTTTTTTTCCCGTTAGGCGCGGTAAGCTATTGATTTCTGTCATTAAATGGGGCGAACTTTATAAATAACGAACCATACTGTGGAGTTAACAAAATGGATTGTATCGTAAACACAGAGCGACAAATTGCTTACATATTTTTGCTATATCAAACCATCGGATTAATTAATTAATCAAGATCGTTCATACTTTGCTTAAATGTGATGTAAGAAAATCGGTTTAAATCGTATCGGAGCGACTAAAAAGGAATCCTCTGCAGCTCTCGGAATGAAATTTCCATTACCTGCTGTTTGATTGTTTGGTGTTAACTGGGAACCAACAAGTCTTTTTAATATTCAAAACTTGAATGCTTCATTTTCAATTACGTCAGGGGTTTTTATGATATCGGAATTCATTTAGTGATACCAATTACCTATCTTAATTGGAATTAGAGAGTGAATTGATGTATCAAACGTATGTAGTTTTGTGAAATATATACGTATTCAGACGGAAGCAAATCAATGTGGTATTCATAGCCTTTCATGTAAAAGTTTTATACCGTTACAATTATACACAAAAATCCTCACTTCTGGGGAAAGAACCCAGGCTTTGCAGAGGAGATTTACACGAACTTTAAAAGAGGCCATGGAAGTAGAGATATCACGATGACTGAACATATTTCCACTTGATTTACGACTACAAATAAAAGTCCACGACATCTCTTAAAACACAGCGCTGAAGGACATTCAAGCAAAGACGCATATAACACACTTATATACATCGGATTTAAATTACAGTAAATACATTGTATAGAAAATCTTAATATCTGCTAGTTTGTAATTAAACACGTATTTATATAGTAACACTATTTCTTATGTTATAGTTGTAATGACTTATAATTAGTGACAATATAAAGACTGATTCGATACTTAATGACTTTATTAGATTGTCTGAAATCGTGGACATTTGGACACTTGCCGAAAAATTGACTCGTCAAAGCCGCCATTCGTTTAAAACACTAAATCATGCACTATAACATATATGTATTTGAAGGAGTCGATATTGCAAATCTTCTGATCAAGTTACTGCAGAAATTAAACGGCCACTTTTTCCATAAGTAGCAAGCTACAGCCGGTTAGGTTAGCTTATATAAATTTAGACAAGAAACTCGGTTATGGTTGGGATGAAAATTCAGCTACTTTTTGTTTAATGTTTCATTTCCTTTCAGCTTTGTTGACTTTTTATTCTCGAGTCTTGCGTTTTTACTTTGTAACTGGCGAATATCAAATAATTAATCAAAGTCATTTCCCAGCACAATTTTTGACCACGACCGCTATATCATGTGTTGCCTGATTTGGCAATTCGTGTCTTGTTATTTGCTGATGGGATTATGGCTGTATTTGTAGCTAGAATACGTGATATAGATCGATTTCCATGTTGCATAGTTAGTGTTACTTACGTCATATACCCAATATTTCTTGTGTCTGATACGTTAATTTTGCATATTACATGTCTTTGTCCTAGATAGGAAGACATATAAGGAGGTATGCTATTGTATATCAGTTTCCATTCTTTGGCTATCTATAGGTAATGTCTCTTTTCTCCTTTAATATGTATGCGTTCTCATGTAATATAAAGTTTTGATCACTTTGACATGTATTTCTTGTCCTCTTATGCAGGTGACATATCGATTTCCCCTTACCTCACACCCCGTATCACTTCCTGATAGACAGACAAACTTCCAAAGCTCGGGGTTGACAAGTACGTTGCCTGATAGCCGGATATTATACATCACACTTCATGTTGCCCAAGACAGGAAAGCTTCGCTTAATGCGAATATTAACTTTAATTCCATTTATATATATAATTAGCAATGTTCTTGTTTAGAAGTTTAATCGTTTCCGAGATCATAACATTTATTCTTATACCATATAGTGTGTATTGCGACGATCTTAAAGCCGTTAAAATGAACTGTAAGATGTTAATACTTTCAATATGTGAGATCAGGTGATGTAATGATTTATTAAATTATACTATGCGATCATTTCAACACAGATCCAGAAGAACAACGGACTTAACAAGTAGGTTTACATTTATTTTGTAGATCACAATCTAACAATTTGAATTTTATACACTATATAAAAGTCTTTGTAATCTTGGATGCATGTGATAATATGAACAAAGTTCACAATACCAATGTAAGTAACACTTTATACTTTGACGGAAAAATAGTGGAGATATATTCCCCTTTAGGTCTTGTGTCAAAAACTGATATTGTTTTATTATTTGCACTGATGTTAAGTCACTATTTTGTTCTCAGGCATGGATGTCTATATATATTTTCTGTTTTCTGATACCGATAAACGGTTTGTGTGCATTGCATTTCAATAAATTGTAACTGTCACAAGCACATCTTACTTTAAGAAATGTATTGATATGTTAAGGTCGTTTTTATGGGCTACTGTGAAATGAGATCTGAATCAACAAGATTTTAATTTGATTGTATTGAATGAACACCACGCAGCGCGTACAAGGGTAAGTGCCATATAAGGTGGTTTTTACTACTAAATGCAACAAACGTTGGGGATCTATTAATACTTCAAATGAAGCAGAAGTAATAACTTAATCAAATCAATAATATTACGAATTACACCATCTTTAACATCATTACCATCACGAAATCATCATCATCATCATCATCATCATCATCATCATCATCATCATCTAATGAATTTGAGACTTGAATTAACAGTAAGTCATATCAGATCGTTCCACCATCCATACTTCACAACATTCAGGCATCAGGCGGTATGGGTAGTACCTAGAAACCTCAATCTCTATGAAATTAAAGAATTGTTTTAAAACAAATAAAAAAAAAAATGAAATTTAGAAGTCAGTTGTCCTTTGTAATTATTATATTGGTTAAGATCTAAGTATGTAGCAAATAACGAAGGCTAATGCTAATGAATAAGTTCTTGGTGTTAGATCGATGGATAAATCGCTGGTCAACGATCTTTACCTATAACTAAACTAACTTTGATAGTTTCTCATATATACAGTGTTTACATATTACAGTTGATTATAGATATTCTTGGACATTTTCCAAATGTCACGATTTACGTCGAAGATGTCGGCAACTGACGGAAAAATTTATAACCAAGCTATCAAAATATGCAAATCATGGGGAAGTTTTATGGTCTGCATTGTAACCTGGTCTTATTCTCCTTGTACTTTCTCACGGAATAGAGGTTAGATTATTACTATGTAAACATGTTGATATTTTTTGTTTGTTTCATTTCAAGGATCCTATGATGAAGACGTTCGGAGAGGTTGTTTTATATTTCTTGCTGGCACTATTGAAAAGTAAGTTTGCAAATGTACTCATTTTTATATCTTTATCGTAAATATTTTCTACTTTATAGTGAAGGCATCCGTGCTTACATGGTTTGATCACTCTCAAAAAATCAGGAAGACAATTTGGTGTCGTACAGATTGTTAACTGATTATGTCATGTCAAAAATAATGCAACGATCACAATTTTTTTATTCACACCCAGTGTGCAGCTCCCATCAAGACAAATCACTCTTACTGCACACTATGAAAGAAGAAATAGCTAAATCTTTCCTAACCGCTTCCAGAATCAACAAGAGAAGTACTGCTGTGTTATGTAGTGTAAGTGTATGGATAGATCACTTTCAAAAAACCAACCTATGTTTGTAATCAACAAAATACTACAATTTTTAACTGGATTGATATGTACTTATTACATACATGAAATAATTGTACAAAATATACACAAATTATTTGTTCTAGTTGCTTATCATAATGTTTCATATTGCCCTGTATTTTCATACCTTGTCCCTTTATCTGGTGTTAACGGATCGTTATTTTGCTCTATTGTAGCTTTGTTACTCCTTATAATATCATGATTTACAATATACAAATGCGTTCTATTTACCAGCTTTATCCTGAGGGAGTACGTGAAAACCAGTGTCAATACTTCATCTGTCCGTCCGACGAGACATGCTACGTTTCCCACCCCTGTCTACCACATTACCCATCTATATGTATAAGTGAGTTACGTACAACACATGTGAAAGAATCGAATCAACAGTTCCTCCTGAAATTTAAATAGGATGGAAACAATTTCATTTTAGTAATAGAAACTCCTTTAAACATCAGAAGAAGGTTTGAAAGATTGAGATATCTTATCTTAAAGTGCTACTGAAAATATATATGTATAGATTCAATATCCTTTCTGTACCAGTCACCTTCTAATGTTAGCAGTATTTTGGTGTTCATGTTCATCCAGTTCCAGATAAGAGAACATGATCACCAATAATACGCTGTAAAATGACAGCACGTGCTGTAACATACATATTTCTGATATCTTATAAGTATTTTATTATAAACTTGTCTTCAAAGTGATTATTAGTACTAATTATGCTCGAAAGATTAGCATATTTTCATTATATTAAAACCTATGATGGGGTAATTTAAATATCTTAACTGGGAAAAGAGTTCAATATAAAAATAGTACATATGTGGATATGTTATATTTTGCATACGTTATTTCACCTTATATATTTACATTTTTATGTCTTCAACGCTGTGAATCCAAATAAATGCCTTTCACGAACTTCGGAAATTTAAGGGAAGAAAATGTGTAATAGGAAATGAATGACATAGGAGAAAATCATAATCGTCAGATTACGGTAAATACATATTTATCCTTACCAGAAGCGAATAAAATTATGTTTGGAATGACATTAAAGAGCCAAATACATCTGTAAAGTTTCACCTTTTTATGATTTTCCAGTCAAACAATCAAACAATAAGCACCTATCAAATTTGGTAAATAGCTGATATGAAGCCAATCCGGGTGGTAGATAAATACAAATTATATATTATATTTATTTTCCACCCGGATTGGCTTCATATGAGCTGTATGCCATATCTGTTAATAGGTCTCTCCAAAAATAATAATAATGAATAAATAGATAAATAAATAAAAACTATAAATAACTATTGTTTGAAATACTATACTAAAAAACTTAACTTGATTAATAATATCAAAATATAACCTATCGCAATTGTTTGAATAATCAAGGTATTTCATTGTTATTCGTTTGATTGAAATAAAATAAGTTTATTGCGCAGCCTTCAGTCAGATTTATGAACGATTTGAAGTGTTTCTTTGGAAATTATTTACGTTTTCATGCCTTTGAGTGAACTGATGTGGTTTTCAGAATGAAATAACTAAGGACATTTCAAACGAATCTAGTTCTTGCAAATGTCAGCATTTTGTTTGTAACAAATTCTACGTCCGTAATTTGAACTGTCAGATCGATGTCTAGCAAGTGAAGTTGGCAAACTTTTTAATCTCGTATGCTATGACAATAATAAGGATTTTGTGACAATAACATGGCTTACATAGAACTACACGGGTAACTGATAGTGAAAATGGAATATTCTTAAATAAATGTATTCCTTTACAAAGTTATTCAAAATGGACAAACAAACCCTACTTGTTTCTGCATACTAATCATGGCGACCTTAAATCTATTCGGTCGCTTATGGTGTAATGCTACAGTTGTGGTAATGCACAACGCACCAAAACGTCGTGCGCACACACGCAACTGTGGGATAGGAATGCACATTTTGTGCGGTTTGGTAAAGATGGTTAGCTAATTTTACGGATTGAAAATTAAACGGAAAATTCGTGAAGTTATTACTAAATAGCGATCACATGAACAGTAAAATTAATGGTGATTTTAAAAGTAATTTTTAATTCTAGAGTTTTCGAAGTAATACTGGACCTGCATTAATTAGTATGATCGTATATAGTTTCACAACTCAGAAAGTAGCGAGTAGTGGTGTTTCGGATAACAAAAGTTTACCTGTATACGGGTATAGGCTTGACAGGTATCGGCTGGGTCGTCTGTGTTACAAACACCACACTTAAAATGTACCTGAGCATATATCTTTTGTTTAGAAAATGAATGAAAAATGAAGATATAAAGAAATGCTGAAAATAGATTTCCTTTCTGACGGTATGAGATTTTAAATGATTCATTGTTGTGACGTAAAGAGACGTCTATTTAATGTGTACGAATATTATATATTGTGCATATAAGTTGTGGTCATACAATAAGGCTGGTCATGCGTGTCTCTTTGTAAACGAATCACTGAAAATGACATGTGTATCTAACTCTTCAGTATGTATCTGATATATCTGAAAGTGTCCAACCTATATAGTAATGCATTATTAAGGAAATATACATGGGTGTACTTTTTATAAAGGAGGAGTGCCAATTTGGGCCTTCTGGCGGCCATGACCGATATTTTTTATTTCTTGTGTAGGAATTCCTTGGGGTTAGGCGGTCATGATATGACATAAAATTAAGGTCAGATCTGAGCCATTCATTAGTTATGGGGGTAAAGTGGGGGGTAAAATTCATAAACAGCTCCATTATAACAAACCTACATTATATTTTTGGATTTTTTCTTCTTAATTTTCATGTAATAATCCATATCAAAACATTCATTAGTAAAATTGATTGAAAAAAATATTCCATTGTTGAAAAGTAGGTCATGGTAATTAAGCTCATTAATTGCGAATTATATTAAAGATGAACTTAATTTTCTGCCTTAATGTACATAAAAAACAATACCTTTATCATGTACCATGTTTTAATAAGAAATATTTTTGCATACTTTAAAGAAAACAAAGAAGAGGCGGTGCTTTGAATTTTAGTTCGACAACTTTGACCATATGTCTGTATCTAGTGGTTTTACCGAAGTATTAACACAGAAATGGCTAATGAAAGATATCAATCTTAACCTCTAGTGTTGCATTTCTCTCCACTATACATACAATGGTCGTACACATAGTTAGTTACTCATTGTCACTGTCAGACTCAGACCAGTCCTCAATCATCATTGCGTCATCAGCACAGCTGAGGTAGCTTGATGAGGCAGTTGGGTGTGCTATCCTAGGCTGGTGTCGCTCATAAGAAAGGTACCAGAGAACAGATGCAATATGGGCACAGCAGCCCACTACCCTGGCACCAACCTTACACTGGCAATACCAACCAGATATAGGAGTCAAACCAGGGGAATACTCAATCCACAGGTTGTACAGTTTCGAAGCAACATGTCTGGAACGAATCTGAACTTTAATTAAGCCAGGCTTTTCCCTGCATGCCATTAATTCATACTGGCCATCTTCAGACAAGTGCTCCATGGTATATGACTTTGCCTGTTTCAACTGATATACTCCCATGGTAAGATCTCTCAACTCCGGTTCTGTCAACTGAGGAAAGTCAGGCAAACTGGCCTCATCAAGCTTGACCCATATGGCTCTTTTCCTAGCCAAACCTTCTTTTTCAACTTGAATTTGCAATTTATTGGGACATTTTGACAGAGCCAACATTCGCTCAGCAATGACGAGGTCATTGGGAGAATCAGAGGCAAGTGGGGGGGTGGGGGGGGCGAAAAGCATTACAAATTGCACACACAATTCTCACAAAATCACCTACAACTGGAATGAGAGTGTTGGGCAAAACATGTCCCAAGGTCTTCCACTGCTTAATCCGCCCATTTGCCGACTCCACAACCCACCTTACCTTTGTTACAAAACGAGATTCGTTTGCCTCGGTATGTGTGTGTTGTTTCTGCCCCTTTGGCAAGAAAAATGGCATTTCTGTTTTGATGCCAGCATCATTCAACAGTTCTGTCACATCTCTGAAGCCTCTGTCAACGACAAGAACATCATCATCTTGAAACCAATCCTTGATGTTCTCAGTGTTAGTTTTCAACATGTGTTTTGTAATGTTGGCGTCATTATTTCGACCGTCTGCTAAATATGGGCCTAGGACAGACAGTATATAGCCATCTGAGGCCACAAGAAGCATTGGTTTCAGGAGAGGGCGTCCTTTGTGCATGGAAAAAGAGCGTCGTTGGAAAGTATAGTTGCTGGACTTTTCAACATAAATATATGTGCCATCAGCAACAGCTATAGCGACATCTTCACCAGAGGCAAACATCTTCCTTGCAAATACCGTTGTATGGTTTTGAATTACTTGTTCTCTAGTGATGTGTTGCAGGCCAAGGTGTGAAGGAACGAAGTGGGTCATCAATGCTTGGCGAGCTGAATGAATACATTTTCCACATATTCTCTTTGCCATGTTGAACAGAGAAGCTAATATTGATAAAGACATGCCAGTCCTCAACTTTACAAGCAGGATGGCTAATGCAGTCCTTGCGCTTCTGTTCAGTGTAGAGTAAAGAGAGGGATTAACTGATCGTAAAAGGTCAGAAAATTGATTTTTATACAGACCTGTGAGACGGTAGTAATCTTGATCAGTTAATCCATCTGAGGAATCAAAGTCTAAACAACTTTTCTTTGAAGCAGCTGCCCTAAGTGTCAAAAGGATCTCTGATATTTCAGAAGAATCCAGTTCAGTGTCTTTGCTGGAATATGCGAGTGAAGATAGACTATCAGATGGGAAATCACCATTCACTATGTGGGAAGAACAACATCTGCAGGTGTTTGGGACAAGGATACCTGTTTTAATAAAAATCTTTACTCGCATTTCTGTTGAGAGCATTACCATTTTACTTTTACATTCCTCTCTTAACATTTTACAAATGAAACATCGAGATTCACCTAATGTAGCCCGTGGAATGTCAAGTTTGATTTTTTTGTTTTCAGGTGACTCAAGCTGGTGCTCTACATCGCTACTAGGATGTTCAGTAGATGAATGGTGATTGTAGTATCTTCCCCTGCATTTTTTACATACGGGGTCACCAAACCTTAAGGCATCATTAATATTTGCTTTCAAGTAAGACAGAATGTCTGTTTTATTCAGACAACAGAGCCTTACTTTATATTGTGCTTTACAACAAGCGCACTGCCTGTGCACTGGCATATTGATAAAAGAAAAGAAAACAGGGCATAAACTTAGAAAACACTCCTTATCAAAACCTTAATGTGGATGAACAAAATTATTAACAACAGTTGAATTACAATTATATGTCTAAATTATATGTACAATATCAGTGACAGTCAAACCAAGAAAGTATACTAAAATCGCTGAGGTTGTGAAGTGTAGTTGCCACGTATTAATTGTATATATAAGGGTATATGAACTGTCTGAGACAAGGTGCACATGTATACTCACCGGTAGACACAAAGATCCTTAACAAGGTATATGTCAGGGGATGGCATTATATCCCGCCATTTTAGCTTAAAGCTCAACCAGCCGTACCAAACTGGTTTAAATATCTCTACATTTATCAAGCAATTTATTTTAAACAGTTCTTAATGCAGTACAATTTAACATTTATTTATTAGATATTTATTATCTAATATAATTACATCAGACAACTCTGATATCAACCAAAAGTTGTCAAAAGTGTGAACCCGCCCCCTCCCATTAATTAATTCTCCATTTTCTATAAATTATTCAAAAATAAATCTTACTAAAGCATGACACATGATAAAGGTATTGTTTTTATGTGCATTAAGGCAGAAAATTAAGTTCATCTTTAATATAATTAGCAATTAATGAGCTTAATTACCATGACCTACTTTTCAACAATGGAATATTTTTTTCAATCAATTTTTACTAATGAATGTTTTGATATGGATTATTACATGAAAATTAAGAAGAAAAAATCCAAAAATATAATGTAGGTTTGTCATAATGGAGCTGTTTATGAATTTTACCCCCCACTTTACCCCCATAACTAATGAATGGCTCAGATCTGACCTTAATTTTATGTCATATCATGACCGCCTAACCCCAAGGAATTCCTACACAAGAAATAAAAAATATCGGTCATGGCCGCCAGAAGGCCCAAATTGGCACTCCTCCTTTAGGAAAAAAAAAACATATCCCATCTAATTTCTAAATTTATATCAACCACTGTAGAACCACACAGCTTGCTCACAAATATGCGATAGCATATTCCATCCAATTTTCCTATCGTGCGCACATTTTGCATACATCTTGCGCACATCGTGCTGACATCGTTCTCACATCATGCAGACATCGTGTGCACATCGCACATCATGCAATGTTGTGCGTTCCACCAACAGTATATATCATATATTTTTATACCATGTCATTTCAGTTTTCTTTATTTCAGCAAATGCCTGCCTTGGAATGCCATGTGAGAATGGTGCCACATGTACAACAGTCGGTACTACGTACAAGTGCACGTGTACGCCTGCTTACTACGGATCAACATGCTCATACGGTATTTTGTATTCCTAAGATCAGGAGTTCTTAAATCATCGGCTACATATTCTATGTAAATGTTGGTAAAACCAAGTTATTAATGCCTCGTTCTCAAATTAGAAAATGGTAATTGACAGTGAAACTACTGCGCATACTAACAAACACTGAATACATCAAACGCGATGTTGATATAAGAAATAGAATGTTTCATTGAGGTCATGGAGACTATCCTGAAACCTATAGCATTATAAGTTTTTTCTCTGTCTAAACCCTATTCTGTTAGTTGTTCACATCTTTAACAGACATTACATTATTCGGATCAAGCCCTTCACTATCGAGCTAACTCATGTCCTAAGTAAAATATAGCATATCTTATAAAGAAACGCATATATACCAGGATAATATATCTCATAACATTTATTTGATATTATTTATGGAATATTTTACAAAATGTATGACCTAAATTTTATCAGATGATTTTGTATACAAGCTATTGTGACGTCTGGTTGAGAAATATCGGTGTATTCTCACGGATTACATTGTGACGTTATAATGGAGACCACAGACAAATACAATAGTATTTGCCCGAATAATCGATCATGTAATAAAGGCGATAGCATCTCTTAAATTCGTTTCCATATTTTTTAAATTAAACTCGTCACATCATTTTTAATATCTTAGCTTGGCACATGATCTTAGACTTGTTTCATCAACCACAAAGCATATGATCACCATTTCTTCTTGAATGAATGGTAGCTTGACATGCCACATATAATGTACTTTCCTTGCGCAAAGAACGGTACTGCTATAAACATTTATACAATACTGAATATTGAATATACTACTTAACCGTATAAGATTTAAAGTATAGATTGGTATGATTTAATTATCCATTCGCATAAACAGTAGTTTTTGCTAGTCGTGACTTATTCAGAAATGTTAAGAATTTCATGTGTGTGTATATAAATCAATATGGAGTTTCCATCTTAGACATTTCATAAGCATTTTTCATTATCTGTATGTAGATTATTATTTGAAATAATGTAACATCTAATTTCCTCTCGTCATTTTATCAACTTTAAATTTTTGCATATTATGCTTATGTTTACATGTCGACACTAGCCTTTATTGAAAACTCTCCTTCTAATTAATTATTCTAAAATAACAGGGTGAGAACTGATGTCTGGTAATATGTTATAAGCATTGAAATGTAATTTAACGTTATGTGGAATCGCAGGGAAAATAAGGTAATTGTGTTTCTATTTCCCACCACTGTGGTTGTCGTGTCTATGTATTACACTAAAGACAGCTAGTGATCCAATTGATATCTTGTAATGACCAGTGAACGGTTGCCTCTCCAATCCTTGTGCTAATGGAGGAACATGTACCAAGGTAGACTCTGACTTTAGATGTGGATGTACTAATGAGCACCAAGGAGAAACCTGTCAGCAACGTAAGTAAAACTCTCATATCTCTCCAACTTGATATAGATGTCGATATCATTATGAAATATGCATAAGGTAATTTGTTTCTTCTAACATATCTCTTCCTAATTTAGTGTTCAGTATTTTATCTTTTTATGATAACGTATCGCTCATAAACGCGAAGGTACAATTGTCAATTGCACTCGCATTTTACTTAGACCAAGTGTGTTTTCCATGGTACTCCTGTTACCTACCACAGTTAGACTCCTTTCATGCTTCCTCCCTTGCCAACAATAGTGACAAATATACAGTGATAGATTGTTTAGCAGTTGTTGTAAAATAAAACATTAAGTTTATATAAATACATGTCTTCGTAAAATTAACTTATATCTTATCATGTCTGTTTTAAGTCAAAAGTGATTATAGTCATATGATATCAGTTTAAGACAGAAATATATCGTGCATCTACTCGAACAGGAAGTCCATGTTATGGACAACCTTGCAAGAATGGAGCCACGTGCCAATATTCTGGGACAACATACACGTGCGCCTGTAACTCCGGATTCTATGGAGTCGACTGTGAAAATGGTGAGTACTGATATAGATCCCAAGTTGTTATAGTACCATAGTTTGATATACAACAAAATGATTGCAGCTTTTCATTGAACGCTCACAATCGTGAAGATACTTAGGGAATAAAATTATATTTAACCAACTTGTTTCAATGTCTAGAAGCTGTATCGGTCTTTCATTTTTCCAGTTTGTCTCTCTCTAAACCCTATTCTATTAGTTGTCTACATCATTCACAAAAATGCATTATTCGGATCAAACTCCTAATTAAAATATAACATATGTTATACAGAAAATTTATGTTAACCAGGAGAGGATATCTCATAACCTTTTTCTGATATTATATATGGAATATTTTGAAAAATGTATGACCAAATTTAATCAAATGATATTGAATAAAAGCTATTGTGACGTCTGGTGGACAAATGACAGTACGTATTCACAGATTATATCAAGAGCATAAACAACTAGAATTTTGACCTTTTAACCTACACATGACATCTTACCTAAAGGTCAGTCATGTTCATGGACATGCTAGCCAACCGTTCAAGCAATTTTTATATTACATATCTTGACTCTAGTTTGTACATCTACAGATTATTTATTTGTGTTTCTATTCAAAGAACTTTCTACATGTGACCTCTTCCTGAAACTGGAAATTGATCATTTAAACCAATATGTTTTTACTACTCTCAATAGCAATCTAACGTAATATGCAATACGACATAAATCGGCATTTTGTTTCGCTAATCAATGCTATTATTTGACTAGCAAAAGGTTAGAGATTAAGGAGGAGAATGGATATAAATGTTCTCATTGGTTTATAATGAAAGTTATTTTCTCAATAACGATAAATGATATTTAATCTTTTGCCTCGGTTCTTATGTCATTGCAGTGATCATAAAACTTTTCATAAAAATCGATAATATATTGATGACATAAAGAAAGGCAAAGGATGTCTTTATGCAAAAGTGTAACTCCCATTTGTATATTTTCATATCCTTTGACCGGTACAGTTGATGCTTGCCTCAGCTCGCCTTGTCAAAACGGCGCTACCTGTCATAGAGTCGGACCGAATTTCAACTGTTCATGTACAGATCGCTATACTGGGTCACGTTGTAGCGAAGGTACTTGTGTAACAGAATGCTCAATTGTTATTCTTTGATATTTGGCAACCTACTATATATTATTACCTAACAAGCGTTATATTTAGCACGAGATGATATATGGAAATTATTTAATATATACATATTTAACTAATGCATAATAAGTATATATTCTTAACAGTGTGTACACACATAAAGAATATTTTCTGTGAATGAATAAATGGAATCAGTTCATGAAAGTGTCAAGAAAACAGTTTGATATCATAACAAACAAGATGTTTACATTAATATTGAATTCAAACAAATGTATAAATAGTGTAATGGTTATAATGCTGTTACAGATTGTAGACCAGGACCAGCCGATATCGTTATCATATTAGATGGCTCAACTAGCACCGAGCAAGTGTTTAATTCTTCCAGACAGTTTGCCATATCGTTTGTGGAAGGCTTGTCCATAGACTCAGATGATTTCCGAGTAGCAATGATTACATATTCAGTAGATGTGTATGTTGAATTTGAGTTTAATACACATACAAATAAATCGTCTTTACTTGCTGCTATGAACAATGTTTCCAGTAGGGCAGGCGTATCCTATCTACACACAGCTCTGAGGAAGGCCAAGGAGGTAAGACTGCACAGGATTTACTGACGAGTAACCACGAACATTAAACAGTGTAAAGGATTTCGATAACTACTTGATGTCTGTTATGATTGATGTAGATGATCTCACAGACCTTTCATTACGTATGATAATATGAATCGATTTTTATTTTTTTCTTCCCGTTCTCGTGAGACAAAACTTATGCATTCGTGACATGTTTCATACAAAGCATATAAAAAGAAAAAGACTGTATGGTTGTGTTTATTTCATCTCTTACAAACTTTTGAAAACATCCTTGAAAACACAATTTTACTATATTGATGCGATATCTATATTGGCGACGTCACAACTGATATCATACTTATCTTCAAATGGGATAAAAATGTTCTGTTCCAAAGTATATACAATACACACACCATTGAAAAGAACTTGATGTTGAAAAATACTGTCTTCGACATTTTTTTATGTATAGATACTTTCTCATAAACCATTGTTCGGAGTGCATCAATATGTCCTTTTGGTATCCGACGGGCTTTCCACTCGTCGACAACAGGCCATATAGCAGTCCCGATTACTATATTGATGCAGAATCTATATTAGAGATATGATGCCATGATGATGAATGTACGTTTCGAATGGAATAACAAACATACTGCTCCAATGCATTAACAATATACACACAAGAGAAAGGTGTTTCATGCTCAACAAAAAATTCAACTGTATAGGTTTTAAAAAAAATTATTTTACAGATATTAATTTCCGAATCATCACCAGGAGTGCAGAAATATGTCCTCGTGGTATCAGATGGGCTTTCCACTCGCCGACAACAGGCCATACGGCAGTCCCGATTACTACGAAATTATGGTGTTAAGGTTCTTTGCGTTGGGATAGGAAGGCAGGTAGCTCAAGAGGAACTGCTGCAGATAGCCTCAGATATTCCTTATGTCTTCACTTCAGACAACAATGACGCCCTCAATGCTGTTCTTATGGAGACCGCTAACGTGGGTTGCACAGGTATATTATACAGTAATCTAGATATGTAATCATGACATTGTAAACACTACCTTCATCAAAATATAATTATCGGTTCTTTATATATTGTAAAAGCAGAAACACAATAGACACACTTTTCTTTTTTCAGACTGCGTCCTAAATAACGCCTCCGATATTGTATTGCTGGTAGATGTGTCTAAACACCAGAACAATCAACTGCAGAGAACACTAGACATAATTAGATTCTTTATACAACAGACCCGGGCATATATCTCCGATACAAGGTTTGCTTTGGTCACATTCGACGTTCGTCAACATGTGATATTTAGCTTGACTGACAATCAGGATACCGACAGTATACTCGTCAACAGTCAAATAGGCATCACTTCCTCTGACCAGGAGTCTAATGCCAGTTCTGCATTATCCTTTGTTCGAACATCAGTATTAAGTACTGCTAGAGATACTAGTCGGAAGTTTGTTGTAGTGTTCTCTAATGAAGGTTTGACAGACGTGAATGCAATTGTGTCCGAGAGACAGGTGCTGGATATGGATAATGTCACCGTGGCGTTTGTTCCAGTTGGAAACTCTGTTGATCTTGACACGGTGTATTCTTTAGCTTACGACGCCAGCGATGTCTACTATATTGGGCAAGACAAGGAGGATCATGATGAAGAGAGGCTAAAGGCCTTGGTAGCCCGAACGGCTCACGTAGAATGTGATTCTGATCTGTTTTCTAAACGACAATGATAAACACTGAGTACATATTGTCGTTATGATTTACTTAAAACTTTTAGATATATATATATATATATAGATAGATAGATAGATAGAGAGAGAGAGGTGTTTTTGTGTGGTGTTGTTGTGTGTGTTTGTGTTACAATTACGAAAACGCATTTTATGTTTTGCATTTCATTTCTTTTTGTACCGCATACAACATGCAATCATCAACTTATCACAGTTTATTGAAATACACTATTGAAGAAGACTGTTGGATATCCAGAAAACACGTGATGGATACAATAAAGTTATTTGTCTGTCAGTTGAATGACTGATTACGTTATGTATTCTGCGTTAACCAAAATCATATAAGGCTGTTTGAAATGTTTGCTTAGGTTTCTTCTATATTGACCGTTTGATAAGCCTTTCCTCACTCTCATCGTTGAGTTCAAAGTATTTAACCTGTCTTAATATCAAGCACTGATATTCTCGCACTTCAAATGTAATAAAAATCCCAAGTAATACCCCATCATATATTGTTCTAACTCGCTCGATCTGTCTAGTTCGGTTTTTAGTTTTTTTTAGAATTTTTTTTACACATCAGTGTATTCATCCGTGTGAAGGAATGTATATATATAGAAATCGGTTACAAATTTACTATCTGCTTTATATTATCCGCTTTGTGTATTTTTTGATGTTGCTAAGATTCCTGACGTTTTAGATAAAATAATATCTTCACTGTAACATGTGTTGTATGTTTTGTAAGTGCGGCCAACGTTGTTTTTGCGACACTTTCCAAATGTTAACATTTAAAAAAGGTTATTACCTGTAACTGAGCGAGATCGGGGTTTCTCAGTCTCGGGCTAAGATCATGTAACATCCTGAACTCGGCTAACGCTCGATTTGGATAATGTTATAGGATCTTAGCCCTCGACAGAGATACACCGATCTCGCCCAGTTACAGGTAACCTATTTCGTTTCGACAAAGGTGTTTTAGAAAAAGAATAATGAAATAGTTAAAATTGGCTCTCCACCTTTCAAGGTTTGAATACCAAGTTTTATCTATTTTAAAAATTATTAAAGATTATACGACAAGAAGTTCCGTAATTCATAGATGACACTTGCCATTTAAAGCTTGATCAATCCAGGTAAGTTATGTCAAATGCTAAAATGAGAACAATGTTAACTACAATGAGACATGCTCATCATGCTGATGTCGACATCTTTCTTAGAAATTGTGTAATTGTCAAGGCTGATATAAAATAGTCTGTCCTCTACTTGTTTAATTCTTTCCGGCGGGTACATTCCTTGGACATGCTCAGAAGACAAGATATCTCCATTATATCTGAACGTGAAATTGGAGGACTCGGCAAACTATTTTTATAACCCTTTTAGATACGTTATGGAAGAGAGGTGGGGATGGTTCTATTTAGAAATTAAAACTTTATAAAAGTGAAACCGGATTTGTCACGCCTTTCATACCAGCTTTGGTCTATATAAATCTTCTTATGAAGAGTGCAAACATCTCAAACAATTCTCATGAACGAAAAGTACAACATACTATCATAAAGCTCAAACAGTTTAAGAGTTTAAACATATTGATTTATGCATGACTGATCGACAGACGAACAGATAATGTGTGGGTTGTAGAAGCCCAAGGTAAGAAATTGATCTAGAAAACTCTGTCCTGTACTTGTTTTCTTATTCCAGTGGGTATATACACTGTACACTGGACATGCTTAACGTTTACCTCGCGCCAAAATAGAAATTAATATAGTACTACTTTCCATCATTAAAAATCAAAGAGTTTGAAAACCGCATCAAAATCGGCCGGTCCAGTACCGAGATATAGACGTGTTAATTGTACGAGTTTTACCTGTCCTTCTACTACTAATCCGCCAACGGATGACTCCCACTGAATGGTACTTTATCGACTGTGACATCATAAGTTTAACGACTATTAGCAGCTGCCGTGGAAGATATAGGTAAAATGAGAATAGCTATACCATGCAACGTCAGATTTCAGATGAACGTTTAATAGTTTTGAATGATTGGATATTTCTGATAATAACATTATGTAGACAGTAAACAGCTGTTTAAAATTTGCCAGAATTTTCAGCTATAGATTTAAACATATTTATTATAATCCTAAGAACAATTAATTAGGCACCATTTATATACATTTATATATGGAAATAATTACCGTCATGGAAATATACATATATTGTATATCTACAATGATTATTACAATTAAAATGAAAATCTGTCTGAAGGTATTTAAATCTAAGTCGACAGTAAGATGAAGATTTCCAAACAAAATTACATCCAAATTGAATGCAACATTCAAAGCAATGAAATTTCATGTGAAAATATTACTTTAATTAGTATAAAGACGACACAATAAAAAGTATTAAAAAAAATTTCACAAAGATTACCACAAGTACATGACACATTATTCAAATTTACAAGTTAGTTTAATTTAAACCAAAACAGACGACACAAGGGTAACGAAGCCTGCTAACGCTGTCTACTGTTTCTGAGCACTGATGAGGAATTTGCTGTAGGTTTTTCTTGCCAAAATGTGTACATTCCAAAGATATATACCATGGTACTACTCCAGATTTCAATATAATATTTCCATAGTTATAGTTTTCTCGAAAACATGAATGAATCACGAGGTTCCATATTTCTCCAAATACATTCGATGTGCACAAGTTATGATTTAGCATCGTTGTTTAATTAAATCTTATATCTAAAGAATTAAGAAAATAAATGATATCGGTTTACTTCCCCAGTCCACTTAGGTTTGTAAAGGTGTGTATAGGTAAACAAGATTAAACACACTTCCGGCAAGTGCTGTCACGACACGAGGCCGGATATACAGCTTTTTACCGGTGTCAAGGTATGAGATAAAAGGGATGTCAGCAAGTGGGTAAGAGATAACCCGAACTTGAAGTTAGTTAGTAATTTGATGTAAGCTATGCTTCTTTGGACTTTCCAATTTACAAAAATGTCCTCAGTCATGATAACATGGGGGGAGGTTGGGGGGAGGGGGGTGCACTTTCGTTAATTTGAATTTTTAAACGGTTGTCTGTTTGTGTTAAATAGATTGAGTCATAAATTTCCAGAATTTTGATGAAAAGGTATAATATTTATTATTATAATATTTGTTTTACATGTGTGTTAATCACCTGCATACAGTACATCGTTTGTCTACTCAAAGGGGGGACAGATAATAAGAAATGGATTGTTACCTTTGTTGATAAGTTGTGGAAGGAAAGGTAGAGAGTGACTTTATTCAGAAATGGAAACGATATAGAAGTTAGATAGAATTTATCAGGCTTATCACACAACTTGTTGAAAAGCTGTTCATTTCGTTCAAAAGTCAAGCCCTATACAATCACATGATCTCAAACAGTTTTAAAGTTTTAGCATATAAAAATACCTCGGAATCTACCTATGACAGATCGACAGAAGCAAATCAAATGTATTCGTTGTAGGAAAAGAGAGAGGCGAATATGTTCAGGTGAGTCATAGTCTACTTAAAAAGCTCCTATAGAAGATATCATAAATATGTCTGAAAGTGATATAGATATACTTGTATAGGTCTTTGTGACCTATTTGACAATATGTTCGATAAACAGGCTCGTATGACACCAAATAGAGTCAAAGAAGGTTCACAGTTTCTTGATGTACATATCCAGAACAGATTCAGAAGTTTTCTTGTCTCCAGTTTACGTTACAAGTAATCGTCAATATAAAAAAGATAGCATTACAATCTGAGCTTTTCAGTACATATATCTTTATTAAGACTCCGCTGGTTTACCGGTAATACAATATGGAAATCCCATGTGACGTCAGAGTATAATACCATTATAGCCGCTTAACAGAGCGTTTTAAATTTTTTTTTAAATGACCCAAGTATATCGGAAGCCCACACGAAGATATTTGTTTAATACACATACGGGAATTTTGTAGTATAAATTTGTCATTTTGGTCTCATCTTAGTATGGCTACAAGTCGATTTTAAAGTGTATATAGTAGGGTAATTGCCCCAGGATATTTAGGAGATCGTATAAATTAATATCATTCAGTTATTGTCCTTTTAATCAAGTGACCTTTTTATAGTATAATGAAAGCAAACACGTAAATCAAAATATTTCTTGCATTTAAACAGACGTGTGACATGCTAGATATGAGGTGATGGTGCTGAGAAAATATGAAATTCCATTATCAATCAAAATATAATTAGGATATCGACAAAAAATCCTATCACCGAATTGAAACCGGATCCCTTAAACAGAATATGTAAGAACACAGTTGACATTTTAAACTATAAGGTCACGTCAGGGTGATCAAATATACGGTGTACCTTTTAAATCATGATGCGTTATGAACTTCCGGGTCTATCGGGAAAATAATTATGCTAAAACCACAATCAACTTACTCATACTGATTACGTGTTGCGCAAAGATTCATAAACAGAACTGACAACCAGATTAACATGCACACGAGCGCTTCGTTTAAGCTCTCTTCAGCCAATGTGTAACGAGTTTTTGAACAGCCGTGTTACACTACATACGCTAAGGTAAGGAAGTGTCTAGCCTTCCGATTTATCTCTATATTTACATTAAGACCAAGAGGTTATAAATAACTAATCTCATAGCATATGATTTTAACTTGCATCTCAATGCAGTAACGTATCGAATTTAAAACCATATTTAAATATCTGTGTTTCCATACACTATTAATTCTACTTAGGCATTTTACAGTTTTATTATGTATGCACAATCTTTTGACAACATGCAAATGTGTTTAAAAATGCAATAGTTAAAGATTGAAGCCATGTTGGAATCATAATACAGAATACTAAATGAATAACTGAATGATAAAGATCACGCGAATCATTATCAATACAACAGCACGCTACGTAAATATATTGGCTCTCTGAATGTTGAATGTCTCTCGCGTTAATTACTTTAAATTTGGCTTTTGTTTTTCCACCTGACTAGATTTCCTTTATTTAGAAA